TGCAGCAACACATAAAAGAACTAGTCTGGGTTTAAGGACATGCACATACTAAGTCAGAAATATGCAAATATTTATTGAGCCCTTACTGTGGCCAGGCACCAAGGTACAAAGATGAATGAAGTCAGATGCCTTCCTCTGTGGAGTACACAATCTGATGAGGAAGAGAGATCATTACCCTGGAGAAATCCAGAAGGTTAAGTGGGATAGGATTTGTTCATCAATGTTCAGTTCTGGAAAAACTTTTATTTTCCAGAGTCCAGTAAGGTGATAAAAACAAACATCAGCAGATACAGTAGAACTTGTTGAAAGGATTATCTCAAAAATAAAAATAAAGTAGCAAAAGTTACAGCCCTGGGTGTTACACGAAAACAATGAATCATGGATCACTAAATCAAAAACTAATGATGTATTGTATGGTAACTAACATAACATAATAAAATAAAATTTTTTTAAAACGTTACATTCAATGAGTCTTCATTGTTTCTTTATGTAAGCCTCTCTTTAAAAATAAACAGGTTCCTCAAAAAGTTGAAAATAGAGCTACCCTATGACCTAGCAATTGCACTACTAGGTACTTACCCCAAAGATACGAATGTAGTTACCCAAAGGGGCACGTGCACCCCAGTGTTTATAGCAGCAGTGTCCACAGTAGCCTAACTATGGGAAGAGCCTAGATGTCCAACAGATGAATGGATAAAGAAGATGTGGTGTTTATACACAATGGAATATTATTCAGCCACCAAAAAAAAAAAAAATGAAATCTTGCCATTTGCAACAACGTGGATGGAACTAGAGGGTATTATGCTAAGTGAATAAGTCAATCAGAGAAAGACAATTATCATATGATCTCACCGATATGTGGAATTTGAGAAACAAGGCAGAGGATCATAGGGGAAAAGAGGGAAAAATGAAACAAGATGAAACCAGAGAGGGAGACAAACCATAAGAGACTCTTAATCTCAGGAAACAAACTGAGGGTTGCTGGAGTAGAGGGGGGTAGGAGGGATGGGCGGCTGGGTGGTGGACATTGGGTAGGGTACATGCTATGGTGAGCGCTGTGAATTGTGTAAGACTGATGAATCACAGACCTGTACCCCTGAAACAAATACTGCATTATATGTTAATTTAAAAAATGTTTTTAAAATAAAAATAAACACTTTATATCCCTATGTGGCACAAAGGTGGGCATCATTCTCAGAAGCACCACACAATCTTGTTTTTACAATGTTGGTGTTTGCTACCGTCCAAAATCCTGTTACATCTCATGAATTGACAAAACCTCAAATTCTGGGGGCTTTTTTTTCCAGTGCCTTGTGACTCCATTAAAAAAGAGTTAAATTTGTGATGTCTATCTTTTTTGAGCCACAGAAATCTTTGTCCAGTGCTTATTATGCACAGAGTCCTTTGACAGGTGATTTATATTTTATTTGATAGAATTCTGATGACCACCTGGAGAGATGGCTCACTTCACTTTACAGGTAAGAAAACAGTAGTGCTGAGAGGGGAAGTTAACTAACTCGCAGCCACAGGCTAGAAGGATGATTGAACAGCCCCCACTTTATGAAAAAGAAAACTCACACTCAAAGGGAAAGTGAACCAATAAGAGACATTCAGCTTATTCAAGAGCAAATGGGGAATTTGAACCTAAATCTGTCAGATTTTGAAGCCAGTGCTCCGCACCATCATGAAATCCCAGTGTTTTGCTCTTGACTCAACATGGGCAATCTGTCTGATCCAGTATCTCCCTTTCCTCAGAAGACAAATGAAAAGAGGTGTTGGTGAGGATGTGGTGATGAGGAACCCTTGTGCACTGTTGGTGGGGATATAAATTGGTCCAACCACTATGCAAACAATATAAAATTTCCTCAAAAATTAAAAATATACTTTCAAGTTGGGAGGGGGTTAAGGGGAACGTAAGTCTCTAAGGAATTTGGAAGCAAGGTTTCCTCAAACTACATCAAAAACTAATGATGTATTGTATGGTGACTAACACTATAATAAAATTAAATTTTAGGAACTTGAGGGGGCTAGCTATTGTTGGGGAAAAGTGATTTATTACTGTCTAATTAAACCGTAGTCATGAGACCCTTCAGATGTATATTGGTGGAACATATGCTTGGGGGATGATTGCCAACTTGAAAGTATATAATGGGCCACTCCTCATGACCCCATTGCAGCTCTTTCTGCCCATGGGTCCTGTCCCCATGCTTTAATAAAATCATCTTTTGCACCAAAAAAAAATTAAAAAATAGTTCTGCCTTATGACCCAGCAATTCCACTTCTTTTTTTTTAATGTTGAAGTGTTTTTTTTTTATTATGTTCAATTAGCCACCATATAGTACATCATTATCCACTTCTGAGTATATACCCAAAGGAAATGAAAACAGAATTTTGAAGAGATATATGCACTCCTCCATTTAATGCATCATTATTCATAATAGCCAGGATATAGAAACAACCTAAATGCCCATCAGTGGATGAATGGGTAAAAAAAAAAAATGTGATATATACAACAGAATATTATTCAACTACGAGAAAGGAGGATATCCTGCCATTTGTGACAACATGAATGGACTTGAGTACATTATGCTAAATGAGATGTCAGACAGATAAAGACATGCACTGTGTGATATTACTTACACCTGGAGCCTAAAAAAAACAAAAAACAAAACAAACAACAAAAAAAAACCAACCAGAGTGGTGGTTGCCAGAGGAGGGAGGGTGGAGGAAGAAGACTGGTGTTATTTAAGAGTACAAACTTACTGAAGTCCCAATAGTTCATTTTTGCTTTCATTCTCTTGTCTTTGGAGACATGTCTAGCAAGAAGTTGCTGCAGCCAAGGTTGAAGAGGTTGCTGCCTGTGTTCTCCTGTACAATTTTGATGAATTCTTGTCTCACATTTAGATCTTTCATCCATTTAGAGTTTATCTTTGTGTATGGTGTAAGAAAGTGGTCCAGTTTCATTCTTCTACGTGTGGCTGTCCAATTTTCCCAATACCATTTGTTGAAGAGACCATTTTCCAAGATCTATACAGAACTTATCAAACTCAACATCCAAAAAATAAACAATCAAGTCAAGAAATGGGCAGAAGACATGAACAGACATTTCTCCAAAGAAGACGTACAAATGACCAACAGACACATGAAAAAATGTTCAACATCACTAGGCATCAGGGAAATATAAATCAAAACCACAATGAGATACCACCTCGTACCTGTCAGAATGACTAAAATGAACAAGTCAGGAAACAACAAATGTTGGTGAGGATGCGGAGAAAGAGGAACCCTCTTACACTGTTGGTGGGAATGCAAGCTGGTACAGCCACTCTGGAAAACTGTATGGAGGTTCCTCAAGAAGTTAAAAATAGAGCTACCCTATGACCCAGAAATTGCACTATTAGGTATTTACCCCAAAGATACAAATGTAGTGATCCAAAGGGGCACCTGCATCCCAATGTTTATAGCAGCAATATCCACAATAGCCAAACTATGGAAAGACCCCAGATGTCCACTGACAGACAAATGGATAAAGAAGATGTGGTGTATATATATACAATGGACTATTACTCAGCCATCAAAAAGGATGAAATCTTACCATTTACATCAATGTGGATGGAACTGGAGGGTATTATGCTGAGTGAAATAAGTCAATCAGATCTCATAAGTCAATCAGAGAAAGACAATTATCATATGGTTTCACTCATATGTGAAAGATAAGGAATAGCTGGAGGACCACAGGGGAAGGGAGGGAAAACTAAATGGGAAGAAATCAGAGAGGGAGAAAAATCATGAGAGACTCTTAACTCTAGGAAACAAACTGAGGGTTGCTGGAAGGGAGGTGGGTGGGGGGATGGGGTAACTGCGTGACGGGCATTAAGGAGGGCATGTGATGTGATGAGCCCTGGGTGTTATACACAACTGATGAATTACTAAACTCTACATCTGAAATTAATGTTGTGCTATATGTTGGCTAATTGAATTTAAATAAAATACTAAAATAAAAATAAAGATAAAAAAGGTACAAACTTGCAATGAGTAGTAAATAAGACAGAGATCTAATGCACAGTGTAATGAACATAGACGATATTGTACTACTATCATCAAACTTGCTAAAAGACTAAAATTTAATTATCTCAACTTCTAAAAAGAAAGAGCAATTATGTAATGTGAAGGAAGTGCTAAATATTGCTATAATGGCAATCATATTATAATATATTCATATATCAAATTAACATGTACAACTTAAATTTACACAATGTTACATGTCAAATATATTCAACAAAAAATAAAGTACTTAAATAAAGAATAAAATTTTGTTTCTACCTTTAAAAAAAAAGAAAACAAACACCCTGAGTTCTGACATTGGGAAAAATTAGTTTATTTCAAAAACAACTGGGTCTGAGGCACTTGAGTGGCTCAATTGGTTGAGCGCCTGACTCTTGATTTCGGCTCAGGTCAGGACCTCAGGGCTGTGAGATTGAGCCTCTGCTCTGTGCTCAGCAGGGAGTCTGCTTGAGATTCTATCTCCCTCTGCTCCTCCCCCTGCTCATGCTCTCTCTCCCTCTCTCAAATAAATAAATAAATGCTAAGTGAAATAAGTCAAGCAGAGAAAGTCAATTATCATATGGTTTCACTTATTTCTGGAACATAAAGAATAGCATGGAGGACATTAGGAGAAGGAAGGGAAAAATGAAGGGGGGGCAATCGGAGGGAGAGATGAACCATGAGACACTCTGGACTCTGAGAAACAAACTGAGGGTTTTAGAGGGGAGGGGGGTAGGGGGATGGGTTAGCCCAGTGAGTGATGGGTATTAAGGAGGGCACATACTGCACGGAGCACTGGGTGTTATACGAAAACAATGGATCATGGATCACCACATCAAAAACTAATGACGTATTGTATGGTGACTAACATAACATAATAAAATAAAATTTAAATAAATAAATAAATAAATAAAATCTTTAAAAAAAGAAAAGGCAACTGGATCTAAAAAGAGTCTTCAAAAAGGCTTAGCCAAATGGTTTCCTTTGAGAAGTTTCTTGAGGGCTTCCTTCAGATCTCGGTTCCGAAGGCTGTAGATGAAGAGGTGCAGCATAGGGGTGACCATGGTGTATGTCACTGTGGCTGCCAAGTCCCTCTGGGTGGCGTGTGTGGATGCAGGGTTGAAGTAGACCCCAATAATGGTCCCATGGAAGAGTGAGACGACACAAAAGTGAGAACTACAGGTGGAGAACGCTTTCCGCTTCCCCTAGGCTGAGGGCACCTTCCACAGCCACAGCAATAGGTGTATAAGAGGCCATGATGCACACAAAAAGAGATCAGAACCACTGAGCCCCCAAGAACCACCACCAGCATCTCATTGAGTTGGGTGTTGGAGCAGGAGAGCTTGATCAAGGCATTGAGGTCACAAAAAAATTGTGGGATCCTATCGGTGCGAAAGGACAAGTGCGTCATCAGGATAGTATGGACCATGGAGATGAGGTTCGCTGAGATCCAGGGTACCACCACCAGCAAGGCACACGGAAGGACGTTCATGATTGTCATGTAGCACAACAGGCAGCAGATGGCCAGGTAGCGGTCATAAGCCATGGCCAAGAGAAGGATGCTGTCAGCTGCCCCAAAGGCAACGAAGAAATACATCTGAATCAGGCAAGCCTCAGAGGAGATGGTGCTGTGGCCACACAGGTGGTTCACCAGCATCTTGGGGTTGGTGGTGGAGGTAAAGCAGATGTCAAGAAGAGACAAGTTGCTGAGGAAGAAGTACATGGGGCTGTGGAGGTGAGGGTCCAAGAGGATGGCCAAGATGGCGAGCAGATTCCCCAGGCACTCAAACAGATACAGGCTGGAGGAGAGACCAAGGAGTACCTGCTGTTTGAGGCGCTGCTCAGAGAGGCCGAGGAGGATGAATTCAAAGACTCGGGTCTGATTGTCCAGGTCCAGGCAGTACTAAAAGCCAAAATAAGGGCATCCACTTGAGTGGACTCCTGGGGAAGAAATGGATCATTGCATTATTGTCCTTCCCACCCACCCTCATGGTGCATCCCGCCCATCAGGTTCCTCATCTGTTTCATGGAACTGATCATTCTAACCTCTTAGGATTGTTACAAGGATTAAGTGAGAAAAATATGTATAAGGGCCTTAAATCCATACCTGACATGTAATATAGACAATTATTTTTATCAGTGTGAACTTCTTGTGATGCTATCAAAATACAGAGGGATATATGTTAATTACCTTGATTGTGGTGATTATTTCAGAGTGTACGCATATATCAAAGCATCAAGTTGTACACCTTAATTACATACATTTTTATCTGCCAATTATACCTCAGGAATGATGGGGGGAGAGAAATAAAACCAAATAAACAACCTAAATAAATAGGCTTAATATTTTCAGAATTTGTTTTAAAAAATAAAAACAAATAATAGTAATTAAGGGCATCCACTCTGAAGCCAGACAGCCTGGGGTTAAATCCCAGCTCTACCACTTACTAGCTGTGTGAGTTAGGCTTACTTAACCTCTCTGTGCCTTCGTGTTCTCATCTGTAAAGATTGCTAATAATAATAACTGCTCCACAGAGCAGTTGAGAAGACGTGGTAGGTTAATACGTCAAATGCTGAACCTTGTGAATTTTTCTGAGAGTTAAGATCCCTTAGTGGTTGAGAGCAAGGGCTCTGGGTTCCAACAGACCCTGTTTGAATACCACCCCTGACACTCATCTGCTGTGTGAGCCAATGACAGACATTCCCAAAGCCTCAGGTTCTTGGGAGGATTAAATGAGACAATTAGTGTGGTGCTCTATAAAGGCTTCTTTTAAAGGCACCACTCTAAGTTGTGACAATGACATGTATCCTTTATATCAGTCTCCCTGTCAAGTTGTATAAACATGGCACAGATTAATGATATCTCACCCCAGCTGCAACAAGACCCCTTGGGAAGGGATTGAAATTGCCTCCCCATTGAGGACCACTGATCTAGGTTGAACCCCCTGCTCTCTCCTCCCACAGCACCTGCTCAAATCGACTAATTTTGAGTGGGACAATGATGTGTATTTGATGGTAATCCACATTTGAGCTAATCACTTGACACATACCACTACACTGAACCCTCAGCAAGTGCATGGGGCAGGTAGCTGAGACTTCACACCTCACTCCTGTGTGGAGCTAGAATTCAGCCTAAGCTCTGGCTCTGGAGCCCACTCTCTTAACCAGCTCATGATGTTCTGTCCACCCACGAGGCTGTGACACCAGGCTCTCTAAGCTCTGGCAGGGAACACTGAGCAGGCAGCCCCCCAAAGTCTGAGAAGAAGTTCCGGGGAGGGATCTTCCCTGAGACCACTCCCTAGCAGCTTGTCTTCCTGACAAATTACTTGACTGGGGACTACTGTACCGCTGGCAGATCCCAGACCTCTCAGCCCCTGGGTGTTGTGTTTCCAGGGGGTAAGGGCTGCTGCTGCATGGCTGTGGAGGAGGAGCATGTTTTCTCCAAGAGCATGAAGCAGAACCACCACCACAGTTTATACCAGACTCTCTGACCCCCGAGACGTAATCCCCAGAGAACCTTGTTGGAGGGAATACAATTAACTCATCTTCCCTAGTGTGCCTCTGAATCTAGCACCCTTGCAGGAAAGAAGTTTGTCATGAGGACATTGACTTTCTTCAAACCCATCTCTCTTGGTTGACAGAGGGATAGCATGCTACTCAGTGTTTTCCATGATGAAGTTTTTATTACCAATAAATTATAATTTATATGTATTAAGTATTTGCTATGCAGATAGAGCTGTGCTAAGCATGCAGTGTGCTATAATTCTCACCATCGTGAGTGCCTGCAAGACTACCTAATCTGCACATATATATCTTCATGCATAGTTTTTAGTTTTTCACTAAAAGACATCAGAATATCTGCAGTTCCTAAAGTCACTTAATGTTTTTGTGCAATGGCAAATGTGGTATTTTCTTTTTTTAATTTTTTATTTAAATTCAATTAGCCAACATATAGTACATCATTATTTTCAGATGTAGTGTTCAATAATTTATCAGTTGTGTATAACACCCAATGTTCATCACATCACGTGCCCTTCTTAATGTCCATCACCCTGTTACCCCATCCTTCCACCCACCTCCCCTCCAGCAACCCTAGGTTTGTTTCCTATAGTTAAAAGAGTCTCTCATGGTTTTTCTCCCTAAATGTGATATTTTCTAAATATTCTTTGTCTATCAATTTGCTCTTCATTTATAAAACACCATCACCGGGCTAATCCATCCTTCTCTTAATGTCCTCCATGCTATTCCTTATGTTAGCCCAGTGATGGGTATTAAAGAGGGCACGTACTGCATGGAGCTCTGGGTGTTAAACAAAAACAATGAATCGTGGATCACACCAAAAATTAATGATGTACTGTATGGTGACTAACATAACATAATAAAATAAAATTTAAAAAATAAATAAATAAATAAAACACATCTCTATGCTGATTTTGGATGCAGAAAACTTGGTACACACTTCTAAATTCTAAAGGTGTGTACAGATGCTTTAGTATCTGTGAAAACAATGATATCATGTATGAAAAATGATGTGTTTGTATTTTCCTTGCCAAATTTTAATACTTTTGTTTCTTAGTGTTTTATGGAGTACTTTTTGGGGGGTGTCTCACTGCCTTTTCTAGGGCCCCCAAAATAATGTTGAAGAGAAATCCATAACTATGGAAACCCATATATTGTTCCTGAGCTAAAATGGAATGTTCTCAACACTACACTGTGAAATATGATAGTTATAGTAGGACTTTATGTAGATATCACTTTTAGGTTCAAACACTTCTGTTCTTTTACAAGTTTGCTGAGTTTCTTTTTGATCATGTTTACCTTATATGAATTATTATAAATTGCATTGATTAATTTAAAATGTTATGTAGAATGTTCCTCGACACAAATTAGAGGAAATATATGATAGACTCCTATGTCTCAACTTTAATAATTATAAACACTTGGCCAATTGAATTTCTTATATACAGTCTTCCCACTTATTTGATTTATTATTTTTTTAAAGATTTTATTTATTTATTTGACAGAGAGATAGAGAGAGAGCACAAGTAGGCAGAGCAGCAGGGCAGAGGGAGAGGGAGAAGTAGGCTCCCCGCTGAGCAGCGAGCCCAACGTGGGGTTCGATCCCAAGACCCTGGGATCATGACCTGAGCTGAAGGCAGACGCTTAACCGACTGAGCCACCCAGGTACCCCTTTATTTATTATTTTAAAGAAAATCCCACACAGTACACAAATTTACCCATATATATTACCCATACTCATGTTAGTATGTATTGCTAACATATAGTGATATCTATCTATCTATCTATCCATCATCTGTCTATACCATGCCATTAGCACAACTCATAAATAAATAAAAATGACTTCATGTTTCCTGATACACAATCCATACTCAAATATTGTGATTTCTTCAAAAACTTTTTCAGATCAAAACCCAAACACGGTACACACATTAATTTAGTGATGTCTTTAAGGTTCTTTTATTTTCTAACAATACTACATTTGCCTTTATTTAGCTCATTTTTTTAAAAAACTAGATTATTTGTCTTGTAGAAAGTCCTACACAATGTTTTGCTCATTGTTCCATCCTGATGTCATTTTTCATGTTCTGCAACAGCATTTAGAAGTAGAGGCAAGAAAGGGGAATGATGCTACCAAGAGGACTGGGGCTTTCAGGAAACCCCCTTTTCTGCAGAAAAGTTGGGGAATTGTTATGAGGTCACTTTTCCCAAGCGTGCAGACAGAGGAAAGGGAGCAGGCTCAGCAGACCTGTGGCTTCTCACAGATCCAATGATACCAGAACACATGGCATATATCAGAGGACCAGGAGCCAGACTTCTCCATGAAGACACAGTCATAGAAGGTTTGGTATCAGTCCAGTTTCTGTGAAAACACACACAAGCATCAGCCAAGCTCCTTAGCCACAGTACTGGGGCAAGCCACACTGAGTCATGCCCAGCTGGGTTTCTCACCGTTAAGATCCCAGAAAAGGATAAGGCTACCAGGGGAGGGTCTAGCTTTGGGAATATGTGAGAAATCCCTAAAAGTAAAATATCCTAGCCATATCTTATAGCAAGTGTTTCTACATGAAGGAACTATTGACATTGGGAGCCTTATCATTATTTGTTGTGGGGGACGTCTTGTGCATTGTAGGATATTGGACAGCATCACTGGTCTCTACCCACTAGATGCCAGCAGCATCCACTCTCCATTGTGACAACTGAAAATATTGTAGACAGTGCCAGATAGCTGTAGGGAGAAATCACCACCTTCTGAGCACCACTGTTTTAAAATGATCATCTGGTGCAACTTCTTGCATTATAAATTAAATAAATGAGGCCAAAGTGGACAAATGACTTTAACATCCCTGGATCTCTGAGATTAAGTTTCAGGACATGATGCATTTGAATGTCTGGTATTTAATAGGTGCTGAGTCTGTCAAAGGATCCCATACCCTCTTTCCTAAACATTCTTTGGAATGTTTACAACACTCATTCATTCATTCATTCATTCCAAAACAGCTTATTGTGCATCTGCTGTGTACCAAACCCTGTACTGGGTACTGGAGACACCTCAATGAGTTGGATGCCTGCAAAGGAAGATCATAATTAACTCAGCCACAAAACTCTACATAGTGTTAAGGGAGCTGGATTAATTCATTCTGGGTGAAGGATGGATTCCTCTGTGAAGCTTGACACACATATTGTAGCTCACCAAGCCAATAAAATGTGTTCTAGACAGGTGACACAGTGGGAGAAAAAACAGAAAGATCAGATGCAAGACAGTGTTCAAAAAGACGAGTCATTTGTCACATAGCTGTGGCAAGGAGGTGGAGAGCCCTTGGGAGTGTAGGAGATGAGAATGTAAAGATGAATGGAACCCACTTGTGTGGGCATTGAAATGTGCCATCTAAAGATTCTGGGTTATCCATTTGACATTGAGGAATTAGGTGTTTCCTAAAACTATATCAAAGGCATGTTTTAGGAAGATGGCCCCTTGAACTTGACAAGAGCATGGGTTCATGAGGGTAAGACTAAGTATAGGATATATAGCAATCATCCTGACCTGAGCTGAGGCAGAAGAGGTGGAAATTAAAGGAAAGCAGATGTACTCGAGATGGTCCAGGAGTCTAAGCGTGAAGTTCTGGAAAAGTGTTGTGGACATGAAAAAAAGTTCAAGAACAGACGATGACCAGAATGTGAGGTCATTGAATCATATGTAGAGGGGTTAGGACTGGATCCCCTAAGCAGTGATTCCTCGAGTGTGTTCTGTAGGACACTAGAGGCTCCAGATATATCCAGATGAGATGTGCATCTCAATAAGCTTGGCACATCACACACTGTCTACTCCCTCCTTGAAGTGTATAATTCTCTTCAATGTACTAAAGACACCGAGACTTCCTACAATAAAGAACTTCCTATTCAATGTTGCTTAATTATCATCTATACACCCACTCACGCACACGCACACACACACACATACACACACCTCTCTGCAGCTAACAAAATAACATTAAGCATGACAATAAGAAATGTGACAGTCAGTTTGGTTTTGGCCAAAACCAGACACTTGAGGCAATTTGGGAATCTGTGGGAAGATGTCTTCAAGATCCAATGGGACAGACAAGCGCAAGTGTTCTGAGTCCCAACAGGGACAGTCACACAAAGGTAGGCGCTGAGCCATCTTGCCACTTGTGAATGCCCTTTGGGTACTGTTTCCTGAGGCCAATCCAGTAGCCAGTATTTTTCTTTGGACTCAGGAATTTCTGCATGAGAAGAAGGCAGATTAAGTCAAGAAAGACTACAGCCAGAGGTGAGAATGGCGGTGGAAGCAGTCCCTGAAAGGGGCTAAGATCTAGGGGACCCCTTGGGCGGGGATGTTGTCCAAAGCAGCATTCTTGGCTGAAATAGGCTGAAAGCTCTGGGTAGATCTCCGTTTCCACCATTATTATGACCTATGTGGTCAGCAAATAATGAACACTTATGGCCCTCAGGCTTTTCATTTAGAAAATTGGGATAACAATGGCAGGTGCCTTCTAGGATTTTCTGAAGTTTCTTTTTTTTTTTATGTTCTGTTAGCCAACATTTAGTACATCATTAGTTTTTTTTAATTTTTTACTGTTATGTTAATCACCATACATTACATCATTAGTTTTTAATGTAGTGTTCCATGATTCATTGTTTGTGCATAATATCCAGTGCTCCACGCAGAAGGTACCCTCTTTTTTTTTAATAATTTTTTTATTGTTATGTTAACCACCATACATTACATCATTAGTTTTTGATACGTGCCCTCTTTAATACCCATCACCAGGTTAACCCATCCCCCCACCCCCCTCCCCTCTAGAACCCTCAGCTTGTTTTTCAGAGTCCATCATCTCTCATGGTTCATCTACATCATTAGTTTTTAATGTAGTGTTCAACAATTCATTAATTGCGTATAACACCCAGTGCTCATCACCACACATGCCCTCCTTAATATCCATCACCCAGCTACCCCCTTCCTTCTGTAACCCTCAGTTTGTTTCCCAGAGTCCAGAGTCTCAAGAGCCCAGTGTGGGTCCTAGCTGAGCACTGGTTAAGAGGTAGTTAGGATTATTCAAGGGCATGGTTTACAGGGTGAGAAATGTGGATACTGTCCCCTTAGAAAGTGTTCTGGTAGTCACTTGGGTTCCACTGACAAATATTGAGTCCACTGAACCATACTGAGTGTGTCTAATCTGGTTCCCGGCACTATCGATGCAGAGTCAGAACCACCCCTAGCCTGGGAGTTCTTCATGTTAGAGGAGATGAGCCAGGAATCTGGCAGCACAGTCCAGTGTTGAGGAAGAGGGGATGGGAAGGATGTTGAAGGACAAAATTGGACTTGATGAAGAAGGAGTAGGAGTTGTCGATGTAGATAGAAAGAAGCATTCCAGACAGAAGGGCCGGTGTGAAGAATCACGCAGAAGCAAGACTAAAACCTGACCAATACTGCATGCTAAGGCAGTGGAAGGGTATTATGAAGGGCAGAATGAAGGATTTGCACTAGATTCTACAGGGGACAAGGACATGAGCTTGCAATGACTTGAAGGGTCCCCGGAGCACCCCTCCCCACCTTCCCACCTGCTCTGCTTGGCTGTTAATGATGACCACGTGAGCACCCTTCTCAGCACAGTGATCCTTGGCTTCGAACCAGTCCTGTTGCTCTGTGTTAAATAGATAGCAGGAGCCCTGGAATGCCATTCAGTTTTCCAGGCAGGGCTCACAGGAGGATTCTGGAGAAGAGGAAAGAGGTCAGCTCTATTGGAGCTAGGGGCTGCACTGGCCACTGAACAAAGCCTCCAGTGAAATGATTCAAACCCTTGCATATTTGCCACTTGGCAAAAGTGAGCACAGTAGCTTCCCATTTGTTCATTCAAGAGCTGGGCATTATCAGATGGCAGAGTAATGCCATGCAGGGGGCCTCAAACTTTATATGAACATCAACCCTCATGGACGGTCGATTAAAACAACCCTACACACACTCATGTGTTGCATGAGCCACTAGCATCAACAATGCCCCAGGGAACAACCCTCCTCTCCAAACTCCCACTTCCCACCACCCAACCTGCCCCATCTCCTTACCGTTGCCTGCCCGCAGAGCCTCCATTTGCTGGAACACCTCCCCCCGCATGATGTCCCGCTTGTGCCCAGCATCTGCCAGACCCTGCACAACTAAGGGGCCTGAAGAGAAAGGCAGATCAAGACCTGGTGGTGTGCGGGGTGGGGAAGAAGCCCTCCGTTCCATTCGGCACTCACATTTGATGTCCAGTTGCTTGAGTTCTTCCTGCATCTGGTTGAAGAACTGCAGTAGTAGAAGAAACACATGCTGATATGCTCTAGGCCTTTCAACACACAGTTCTTTTCCCATTCCCCAAATAGCAGGCTGAGACAAGGAGGGCAGTTTCGTTCTAGAATCATTAAGCCCAGCAACGCTATCCAGCCACCCCCTACCGACCCATCTCTGCCCCAGCCCTGTGGTCTGGGGGCCTGGGTCCATGTGATCACCCATTCCCACTGACTCAACACCTTACCCTCAGCCAGGACCACACCGAGGATGAGGACTAGCAGAAGCAACATCAGGGTCATTGCCAGGCAGAAAAACTTCCAGGGGCCATCCTGGGGCAGCTTTTGGTCCCACTGTGCTACAGGGAATGCAGCAAGCATGAGGCAGGGCACACGGTCTCTGAAAGTGCTAGAATCATGCTAGGAATGTGGAGGGGTGAGCCTGAACCAGGCCCTGGAATGGGAGGCAGTGAGTGCTTCCTGGTATTGAGGAGGGCATCTACTCCTGACTTCAGCCTCTTGACTCATCTGGTTCCCCTGGCATGGGTGGAGATTTTCCATCCATGGACGTGAAGTCCTGTAGCCTGATGTTCTCTGTGGCTGCTTTCACCTGTGGCTGCACTTGTTCTGTCTAGCTACCCACAGCCCTTCCGGTTATTATTGAAGACACACCCATCCTATACTAGGAAATGCCACCCCCCCATGTAAACCATCAGATGTTTCCTTCCGGCTCAGTAAGGCCCCCAAGATCTCTAGATGGCTTATCATCAATTCATGTCACAGGGAGATGGCATTAGCGCCTTGGAAAAGGTATTCTGTTCCAAGTATTCCCTACAACTTGTTTCTCAGTTTGGGGGACAGTAGCCGCCCTAGAAATCTTCCTCAAAGTTTCCAATGCATTTACACCTTTAGGCTTCTGGTTACAGTCGTTTCAAAAGATCTTGCATTTTCTTAGAGATAAAGTTGTAGTAATTTCAACATTGGAGTTATGTTTATACTCTCTCAGGGCATGTAGCCACTACTCCACCACACACTGATTTATAACTTTATGTTTTAAACGGAGAATATGGTGCAGTAAGGAGGAGGAGCAAGCTAATGTAATCGAGAGGCTTCTCTTTAGCAAACCTGTTGTTAGGAAATGTTCATACATCACGTCATTTCATGGGTCTTTTTCTCTCTGAATGCCGTTACAATTTTTCTCTTTTTCTTTGGTTTTCTTCAGGTTGACTAGGGGGTGTGTGTGTGTGTGTGTGTGTGTGTACCTCCATATGCTGTTTGGAATTTACCCAGCTAGGGATTTGCTGAGTTCCTTCAATCTGTGGTGTTTTTTGTTGTTGTTGTTTTATTTTGTTTGTTTGTTTAAAGATTCTATTTATTTATTTGACAGAGAGAGACACAGCGAGAGAGGAAACACAAGCAGGGGGAGTGGGAGAGGGAGAAGCAGGCCTCCCGCGGAGCAGGGAGCCCGATGAGGGGCTCGATCCCAGGCCCCCGGGATCATGACCTGAGCTGAAGGCAGACGCTCAACGACTGAGCCACCCAGGCACCCTCAATCTGTGTTTTAATTATCTTTCATGATTTTTAAAAGTTCTCAGAATTCTGAGCCCCAGATCTCCTACTCATTTATTGTGATGACCTGTCATATGCCACCTAACTTATCAACCTCAGTTTCCCTATTTGTAAAATGGAAATAAGTACCCCTGCCTATCAGGAGTATTCTCTGCATTGAGACTACGGTATCTGGTGATTCACAAGCCTCCCATATATATGGTTACGGGTCTTTTGAAAGGCATAGTAATACTCTTAGACTTGGCCAAGCAGGGTGCCTACCTGGGTCCTGAACATCTGTGGGACCTCAGTTTCGAGTGCCTTCCTCCAGGGGAGTCCTCCTCTGCTATCTGGGGTCCAACAGGACTGTCAGTGCTTCTAGGAAGAAGGCCCCCAGGACCACCGTGAGTTTGAGTGGATCTCGTCATAGGAAAGAATTGTCTCAAAATTTTCACTCCCTCTGGTGCCTGTCACCTGCCAGGGACAGCCCTGGTCCCCATTTCTTTCTCTTGGGGCACTCTTAAACCTCAAAACTCAAACAACCCCCCCGCAAAACACTGCATATATGAGTTTTATTACAGGACCTTTAATGCCAGGCTTGAGAGTTAGACTCTGCTCAGTAGAAGTGGCTTGCCCCTGAACTCCACACCAAGCCATCTATTGTCTACCGTGTGCCCAGCAACTGTTACAGGCACTGGGACATAGAGATACATCCTATCCCGTCTCAGATCCAGGGTGGAGGAGCCACTCCGCAATGTGAGGGAGACATCTGCTGGTCACCGTGGGAAATGTGAAGGAAGGGACGTTCTCCCTGGGACTGAAAGAATGAGTAAGCCTCCTCTGGGCTGATAACAGGGGAAAAGGAATTCCTGTCATAGAGACAGAGATCAGTAAAAATAGAGAGTGGGAAAGTGCATGGTTGGATCATGTCCACATGCTGGGAGAGCTTGGGGGAGATAAGCCTGAAAAGGCTCCTACTCACAGTCAGTGAGTAGGAGATCTGGGACTCAGAGTTCTGAGAACTTTTAAGCCCACGGGCCTGAAGACTGGACAATGGAGTATGGAGTGGATCTAACAAGGGACAGGGACATGCCATGCACTGTCTTGAGAAGGACACTGCGGCCCCTCCTGCCCTCACCTGCTATGTTTGGCTGCTGATAGTGATGAGGTGAGCACCCTCCTGTGCAAGGGAGCCTTGGCCTGATTCAAGAAAAGTTGTCTGAGGAGAAATAGTAACAGAAACCCCCAAACACCTGCCAGGCATTGGGCTGGGCTCACAGCTGGATTCTGGGGGGAAAGGCAGGTTCCCCTAGGGCTGAATATGAACAAGTCTCCTTCAATTCTAACACTGCTCCCACTTTGCATGTCTAGGCTAAAATGAGATGGGAGCATGTTCAATTTCTTGAGAGTACCAGACGCTCTCATCTCCAGGTCCCACTGCATCCTTCATGACCCACTCCCATCTGTTTCAATCAACCGGTCTCAGGTCACATGTCACCTCCTCCAGGAAGCCTATCCTGCATCCCTGCACCCCAGACTTGGCCAGGGGCCTCTCTGACTCCTAGCTTGCCTGAAGTCCCCCATCACATGGTGCTGTCATCACCGGGTTATGGGTCTGTGTCTCCCACTAGACTTCGACAGACCTCCTGAGGGCAGAGATGGCATCTCAGTGGGAGCATGCTGTGTTCTCAGCACCCAGAAAGGTAAAAATTAAATGGAACAATAAATACTCAATAAAATGCTTAAAAGAAAACAGTGAAGGAAGGATATGCACAGTGCTGTGAGACCCTACAGTGCAGGTGGGAAAGGAGGTAGGTGACAGATCTGAGCTGAACTCTGAAAGATAAACAGTCCCCAGCACATGGCGTCAGGGAGGGAACGGCAGGCAGAGGAACCAGCACGAGCAAAGGCATGGAGAAGTGCCCAAAATGGGGTCGGGGGAGGCTGGGAAGCCAGACGGGGTCACAAAGTGAAGGGACTTGGAGGCACCTTGGATCCAGCCCTCTGGGGCCCGAGGGAGAGTGGGCTGGAACGAGGTGCCAGCCTGGACTGAGGGTCCCAACAACACTCTCCTCTAAGCTCTAGCCCACTGTGCAGTGGAAGACCCAGAATGTGGGGGCAATCTGTTGGGATTTCCTGGCACAACTCAAGTCCGGAAAGGACATCACAGAAACAGATGTTCGACCAAGAAATGAATTAAGGACTAAGGAGAAAGAGCTTTTGTTGCCGCTTCTGGATGCCCAGAGAGGTCAGCATATAAGGCTAAGGTCGCAGAAGAGGGTCAATAGTAAGCCAGGAGATGGAGTGGAGCCCAAGGTCTCAGTTCAGCTGCATCTTGCAGCCCTGCCTGGAGGGGGCGCTGTGACCCTGGACAAGTGGCTTGGCCTCTCTGGGCCTCACTTTGTCTTTTATGAAATGGGGCTGAACGATAAGAAGAGACACAATGTGTGTAAAGAGCCTGGCACACAGTAGGTGCTTGGTCAAGGAAAACTCTCCCCCCACCCACAACGCCCATTTCAATCTTTTTCTTGAACTATGGGCACCATGCTTTCATTTGAATCACAGGTGTTTTTGTGTACCTACTGTGTGGCAAGCAGTGTGTGGCCACTGGAGATAAAATGAGCAATAACCAAAGTCTCTTTGAACCACAGCCTTGTAGCTTTACTCGGCAGTTCTGCCAGGCAGGACCCATGCCTTTCTGGGTCTGCACTGGGTCTGACCCAGGGGTGACCAAGAAATATTGTCCAAATCCTTTCCTACCCCAGACATTCATCAGCCCCCAATGGGTGCCGGCATCTGTGCTCACAGCTGCAGACGGAGAGATGGGTCAGACCCAATCCATCCCCAAGAGTAATGTCCTGTACCTGCTTCCCTCCATGGCACCTCGCCCAGGGCATGTGAGGCAGTTTCCCCTGTGTCTTCCATCTGATCCCAGGCACATGAACATGGCAGGACTCATTAATTGTCATTGGATTTCCTTTTTGGATCTTTTTACCTCCATGGGTTTCAGGGAAGTCAACGGGGCTGTAGCATCCTGGGAGTCTGCTGCACCTTCATGACATTTATCTCCCAGGATCTGAATGACTCCATCACTCACCTGTCTCTCCCCCTTGCCCGGTCTCTCTTAGAGGTGACACTTAGATCCAGTCACTTTCCATCTCAGCACAAATTAGGAACACCGTGAATGTGTATAGGACAAAATTCCCACTATGGATTGGACCATTAAGTCAATTGAAAAACTCTTCAAACCCTTGGTCCTTGTCTTGCTTAAAAGTTCCCCCTCATTTTGCCAGGCAGCTGTGTGATGGTACATAGAGGGAGGAAGCCTCATGCTTGATCTGCTCTTTGATAACTGGGTAAAGTTGGAACAGGACACACTAGCTGGTTAGTTTGACAAGCATGACCAGCCTTGATACCCAAAGCCTGTGCACCAGATAACTCATCTCCAGCTCAGATGAAGTCCAGCCCCAGCTAGCATGTATCCAACAGCTGTGTATGCAACGCCTGAGCCCTTCTCTGGGGAGCCCACAGTGACCAGGACTGACATGCCTGCCCCTGTGGACATGACAGTAGAGGGGAGAAGGCGGATGACGAACAATTGAATTTAGACAAGAGGGTGATGAGTTTGAGGAAAGGAAAGCAATTGGCTACAAGAGGCCAACAACCTAATCCACAGAGAGTAGGGAGGCTGGGGGTAGGCTGGGGTCTGGGTTCATGGATAAAGTGACATTTCAGCTAAGACACTCTGCTCCAGGGGCAGAGTAAGAGGAAAGGGTACACCAGGCAGAAGAAACAGTGTGTGCAAAGAACCTGTGGTGGGAAGATAAATGTTCATTCAAGGGGCAGGAAAAGGCCAACATGACAGGATCTTGGGCAGCAAGGAGGGGTGAGTGGCTCAAAATGGCCTAAAATGGCAGGTGGGGGTCAGATTACAGAGTACAATACCCCATACTCCCAACAGGCATTAGATGACATACATTTTACATGAGGGATACTGGCTGTGATGTCAGTGAATTTCAGATGAATTAAGGAATAGCCATTCACATTTCGGTGAAATTTTGCATCACATAGGCTTTCCATAGGGTTGTAATGAAAGTCTTTTTCTTTTCTCAGCCAGTTTTATTGAACACCTGTTAGGTGCCCAGCTGTGGGAACACAATACTAAGCAAGTTCAGATTGGTCCTACCCTCTCAGAGCTGCCAGTCTAGTGGGGATGGAGGGGAGGTGTTGACCAGGTAATATCTATAATGCAGTGCAGTGAGCATTACTGTGGGAGTAGAAGCCTCAGTCGCCCTCAGAGCACTGGAGATCTTACTCTTACGCTGCAGCGTGGAGTGCTCATGGTGGCCACACTCGGCACCCGGTGCTCTGCAAGCTTTGGGTTCTGCTGCCCAGGACCCCAGTGTGCATGTTGTAGCATTTGGCTGTTTGGAGCTCTGGGAATCTTGTGGCTTGGGGGAAGAGAATGTCACCTCCAATTCCCACTTATGTCTCTTGGTGCTAATCAAATGCCCAAGTTTGGGCTTGAGCCTAAGTTGGAAAGCTATCTGGGGACCAATCTCGAGAGTGGGGTGACTCTGTGGCTCAGTCTCCACCTTAGCCCTGAGCTGTGCATCAGCACTCATCTGCCTGCAACTCTGTGACTAATCCTCAGGGACTCTTTAATTTCCACAAATGAAGTGGAGGTGGGGAATTGTGAACCAACTTTTTTTTTATGTTATGTTAATCACCATACATTACATCATTAGTTTTTGATGTAGTGTTCCATGATTCATTGTTTGCATATAACACCCACTGCTCCACACAGAACGTGCCCTCTTTAATACCCATTCCCAGGCTAACCCATCCCCCCACCCTCTCCCCTCTAGAACCCCCAGTTTGTTTCTCAGAGTCCATAGTCTCTCATGGCTCGTCTCCCCCTCCGTGTGAACCAACTTTTAATGAGCCCCTAAGTGCCGCTGAGAATCCCGTGGCTTGTTCACTAACAAAACTTGGAATTGGTTTCTAGGGATTACTATGCCAGCAAAGTTTGGCAGATTGTGCTGGCACCATGTCGCACTGGGCTCTTTAATGCCTGTCATGTCTATAGTATTTTTAATTTACCTGTGTTCTCAAGCAAGCATGCCCAGGAGCCCTGACTGATGGCACAGAGAGCTTTGGGGTAGGGCTGGAGGTGGCAGGTTTAGATGAATTCTAATTTCCTTCTAAGGAGACCCCATGACATCACTTCAGCTGAATTCTCTGGTGACTTGTTGTTTTCTCTTTTTTTTTCTTGAATTTATTGTTTTCATTTATTAAACAGAGACCAGCTGGCCACCAGTGTGAACTGTTCACTTCTCTTCAGGTTCTTAAACACAGATCAGTAGGCAAGGGGAGACTTGGGTGGTAGCGTGGATAGCAGCCTGCTCACAACAAACAGACGTGGGTTCAAATCCTGACCCTGCCACCTGCTGGCTGTGTGAACTTGGTGACATAAATTGACCTTTCTGAGCCTCCATCTGCAAACAGGGAAACTAATAGTAATAGCACCTGCCTCGTAGTGCAGTGCTTGTAAATGCTCAGTAAGTGCTAGGTAGTGTCGATGCAAAAGGAACAAACCTTTTAGAATCTCTAAAAGTAAGAAAGAGTTTTATTCCAGCCCAAGTTAGGACAGCTGCCCAGGAAACACACTGTTCACAGGGAAGAAAGTGCTCCCGAGAATGAAAAGTTTTATCAAGGTTGTATACTTTTTTATATCTTGTAAAGTTCAAAAGATTACAGATTAGCACTATATATAGTGCACAGTTCATAGGCAGGAATCATGAGTTTTATCGTAAAGGAATGCAGGGAGCAGGCGCATTGATTAATCTCTCAAGGACAAGACAGTTTTCCTTTAAGCCACTCATTATAAAACAAATGTACGATGCATGGCTGGCAGGTCATAAATCAGGTTTTTGGTTTGACCAAAGTTTATGTAGTCATTCTGACTTAGAAAAAAAATCTAAAATGGCTTCCGTTGCATGTCAAGCCTTTAGAGAATTTTCGTTTCATCATGAGTATCGTTTTATCACTCAGTAGAGTCCTGTAGGTGTGTGAGCCAACCAACTACCCCATGTCTTGAGACCCAACATTTGCTGAGTACTTTTTTTTTGCTCCAGGCTTGGGAACTCAAGCACAGAGCAAGGCAGATGAGGTCCCTGCCCTCCTGGCATTCATCTTCAAGTGGGAAGAAAATAATTCGCAAGAATGAAGGAGCAAATAATCAAAGAGTTACACATTTATATTTGTGTCTTAAAGGGAATTAAAAGCATGCTGTGATTTTAAAGATTTATTTATTTATTTTAGAGAGAGAGAGAGAGAGAGCAGGAAGGGCAGAGGGAGAGAGAGAATCTAAGTAGACTCTGAGGAGTGCAGAGTCTGGTGCAGGGCTCCATCCCAGGACCCTAAGATCATGACCTGAGCCAAAACCAAGAGTTGGACGCTCAACTGACTGCAACACCCAGGTGTGCCAGCATGCTGTGATTTTAAAGCAGTGTGTTCTAGGCATTGAACTGAATGCCTCCCATGTTTATGCAACTGTTGCACTACACACATGATGAATGACTAAGACCTGGAGTCCCCATGAGAGGAAGCGTTTTCTCATGATTAAAAGCATCCAAAGAAAAAATAATAAAATAAAATAAAATAGCATCCAAAAAGGAAATGGCCCACCCGGGGGGGTAAGGTGGGCTTCAAATAGAGGCCTTGCACACCCACCGTGTGAGGGGGAAATGACTCCCCTATTGGATGTGGAAGGAGTGACAGACTCCTCAATCCCTTTCAGATTGAACAGAGACTGTTTCAGTTGTCAGGGACAGAAATGTAAATTTGAGGCCAAAAAACCCAAAAAAACAAAAACCAGGAATCCACTGACTCCTGTACTGGGACATGCAGGGATTCGGGGAGGCAACCTCAGGACTCAGATCATGGCATCACGGCTCTCTTGCTTTGAAATTTTCAATTTTCACATGTGGTTTTATTTCCTTCTCTTTGCGCAGACAAGCCTCATTCCAATTACCCTAGATGGTGGAGCCCATAAAGGCGAAAGAGGGTTTCCCTCTCCTGCCACCCACATGCTTTTGTTTTATTAAGGAGGACATGTGTTGTAATGAGCACTGAGTGTTTTATGAAAATAATGAATCGTTGAACACTACATCAAAAACTAGTGATGTACTATATGGTGACTAACACAACACAATAAAAAAAAAAAAGTATGTACTGTTTTTGCTTGTAGAGGAATAGCCACACCTAAATGTTGGTTTTGGGGGTTTTTTATAAGTAATAAAAAATTATTGAGAATTCCTGGGATGGTGGTTGTCATCTCCCAACCTGAAAGAAGGAACCAACACTGTAGGAAATCACTCAAAAACCACACTGTCCCAACACCTCTGGCCAACACAGGGAGGAGCGAAATCATCCCCCCCCAAAAAAATTGGTCTGCTTTGTTCATCCAAGAAAACTTGGGAGGAGAGATGCAGGAGGAACCGTCACAGATACTGGGGGTGGGATGGGGGTGTGCTGGGACCCCAAGCCTCACCAAGTAAGCAATGAGCTTGGTGACCAGGAACCCCACACCCAGAGAAGTAGATCTGATTCTCCTCTGATTTCTGAGGAGCCAGCTTGAGGTACAGCCACACCTAAATGTTTTGAGAGTTGTGTAGTAGATGTGAAGGAGAGGGGTACGAGAGTCACAAAGTTTGTAACCTTTGACAAAATTTCATTTCCCTCACCCCCAACCTCTAGCCACCACAAATCTAATCCTTTCCTATGATTTCAGCTTTTATACATTCTATATATGAGTGAGATCATACAGTAGTTGCCTTTCCCTGACTTATCTTACTTAGCATAATGCCCTCAACGTTATTCATGTTGCCATAAAGACGGGATTTCCTTCTTTTTTATGGCTGAATAATATTCCATTGAAAATATATATTTTTTAAATGGAATATTATACATATATAGCATCATGGCTCTCTTGCTTTGAAATTTCCAATTTTCCAATTTATTGGAATTTCCAAATTTCCAATTTTCATATATATATATATATATATTCCACTACATATTATATTCAGGTTATTTCAGTGTCTTAGCTTTTGTAAACAATGCCACAATGACCATGCAAGTTCTGATATCACTATGCCATAGTGATTTCAATTCCTTCAGATAAATACCCAGAAGTGAGCTTGCTGGATCATGTGGCAGTCCTATTTTCAATATTTTGAGGATAGTGTTTTCCATAGTGGCTATGATGTGGGAAACAAAGACAAAAGAAAAAAATGAATTTCCTTACTACTTGCAGCCCATTCGATGGGTCCTTGAGACAGGGAGAGTGACCTTCCTCTGGGACCTGGGCTGCCTCAATGTTAATACTTTGCTGGGAGTTCCCAGCAGCCTCACCAGGTGAGAAGAGAATGTCACTTCCTGGCAGGTGCAAGAAACTCAGAATACTTCAGGGACCTCATGAAGAGGAATTCACCCAAACCTACAGGTATTGCAGGCATGTCTGATGACAAGCACTTGGCTTGGCTTCTGGCCTAGAGAGGCTACTAAAAGTTCAATCGAGATTCCTTATGAAAGTTCCAGCAAAGCAGATTTTGAAAGATCTATATGGCCAAACATTATTCTTGCTAAGCTTATGTAAATAATTAGGTCAAATTTGTTAAAACTGGACATGTTTTGGGCGCCTGGGTGGCTCAGTTGGTTAAGCGACTGCCTTCGGCTCAAGTCATGATCCTGGAGTCCCGGGATCGAGTCTCACATCGGGCTCCCTGCTCAGCGGGGAGTCTGCTTCTCCCTCTGACCCTCTTCCCTCTCGTGTTCTCTGTCTCTCATTCTCTCTCTCAAATAAATAAATAAAATCTTTTAAAAAATTAAAAAATAAAATAAAACTGGACATATTTTTCAAATGAATTGGTCCTGATTTGGCTATCTCAGATTTAAAATGAGGGTTATTATAGAGAGAAAATGTTTCAACAACACATCTTTATAGATATTAGATTTTAAGCACTCAAGACTTGACTCTAGGTTTATAATTTGCTCAGACCATTAGACTATATTTTTTCTTTTGTTTCCATAAAGGTGCCTCTTATTCATTACTTGATTGCTTGCTAAACAAAACAGAGGATGGCTCGCACCACTTGCTATGCCATCGAGGCCTTAAATGACTTTCAAAATGGTATTAGGTACCATAACTGTACAAGATGGAATATGTGCTACCATAAGAACAAAATGTTCGGTATATATTCCAGATATCACCAAAAAGATATTGCTAAAAAGATATAGACATTCAAACGGCACTTTAAATGGTCTCTCTCTCTCTCTCTGTCCTTTAGTGATTGGTTAAACTCCTGGACTGGAGAAAGATTTTGACCAATTATCAAAGTTTTTTTTTTTTTTTTTATTCAGCCTTCTCTTTCTCATTATAATACTAACCTAATTTGTTGTCTTTTCTGGTGTCTCCCTATCTGGTGTCAAGACTCCTTCACTGCCAGGACTTCCATGAGACAGATAATCCTTTCTACTCAAGGAGGTTCATATATGTTATCTACCTTGGTTTGGCAGCCTCTGTCTTTGGTAATTCCTGTGTACAAATTCCCCAGCTGACCAATGTTGACCCAAAGGTAAGAACATCTCTATGCCCCTATTCAGCAGGAAGAAGTTACAGAAGACTTCCATCCCCGGCAACCTCAAAGATTTAAGGGCCAAAACTGTTCGGGGGGAATGATGTGGGGAACAAAGGCAGAAGGAAATGCAGATAAAATTAAATATCTTTATGACCTGCAGCCTATTGACAAATACTTCAGGCAGGCAGAGTATACCGTTCCTCCAGGAAACTCCCAACTCTCTTAATATTAATGCTAGAGAAAAAAACAACCTTAGCTTGATAATACCTAGGCCTCTAGTATCCTGTGACTCTTTACCATATGAAACTCATTTTTGGATATTTCCTTTTGTCTCTACCTCCCCAAACTCACAAAGTATATATAATCTGCTGCTCCTCACAATCCCAGGGCAGCAGCTCTTATCCCCGTGCTTTAATAAAACCACCTTTTTGCACCAAAGACTTCAAGAATTCTTTCGGGGGGAGGAAGCTCTGAGCCCCAAACTTCAAACCACATCATATAGATGGAGTGCTGGCAGGCAGTTTGAAGACCCCTTCCCAGTTATTGAATTGAGACCACTTAGGTTAGAGTTTTAGCATGCTTTTCTTTGTTCTATTTTCTGTCTGTTCTTTGGAAATCTGGAGTGACCACAGGTTGGATTCTGGGAGAACCCGCAATCAACATGGGGGCCTGTGGTCAGCTGGAAAGACTGTCAGGGTCTTGGGCTCAGACACCAGCCTCCTTTCCACCCGGCCTCCCCGACCCTAGCGTTCCATCAGGTCCCAAGCGCCCCCTGCTGGCTCTCGATGAGGCTCGGGCAGAGGAAACCTCAAAAAGTTTTATTCCTGGGATTCCGCAAAGCGAGGCGTGTAGGTGCTGGATGGATCCCAAGCCACGAGCTGGCGGGTCACCGGGGGCCCGAGCTCAGCGGCTCCACGCGCAGCCGAAGTCCACCCTCTGCGCGCAGGATGAGCTCTGGCTTCCTGCGCGGCTCCTCCTCGTTGGGCAGCACCCGGAAGCGCAGCAGCGTAAGCGCCAGGACCACCTTCATCTCGGTCATGGCAAACGTCTTCCCAATGCAGTTCCTGAGGGCGGAAGTGGGGGCTCTGACTCACCAGGGACCCCAGCAGGTCCCATCGCGCCCAGAACTTGGCCTGGGACCCCTAGTCCCGCCCGCAGGGATCCATAAGGGGGCTAACCGTGCCTGGGACCCCCATGTGGGCTTGCCTATCCCCTGAGCTTGGCCCAGACCCCAGCCCTGAACTCAGGTCAGCAGACAGGGGGAAGGGGCTCTGCCCACACCGAGGAGCCCTTGTTAGACCCACGCAACCTCCACTCGCCAAACGCTTACCTCTAACCTCTGGAAGAGGGGAGAGGAGAGCCATCCTCAATTTCCCCCTTTTCACACCCCCACAGCCATGTCTGGGATCTCAGTCCTAGACCCCTGGCCCCACCACCCTGTCCCGCCTCAGTTGCCCACTGCGCTCACCTGGGGCCTGCAGAGAAGGGAATAAAAGCCAAGGGCGACCTCTTCTTGATGTTTTCTGGGTCAAAGCGGAAGGGATTGTATACCTGGGGGCAGAGAGAGGCAGGGCTGCTGGATGGGGTTTCCCAGGATAGCCAGCTTGGGAAGGGCAGACTTGTGTTTGATGGTGGAAGGTGATGTTTGATTTGCCAGCTCAGAACCCTGCGCCCTCCCCTAGGTCCCCCTGGGGGAATAGACAAGGAGGTGGGTGGGCCGTGGGGACAGAGGGGGAGGCAGCACCTCAGGGTCTGGCCACACGGATGGGTTGTGGTGGGTCGCGAAAATATTAACGAGGCAGGTAACACCTGTGGGAGATGAGGGACCAGTCAGGAAGTTTCCCCCTGCCTGATGGGCCCCTCTTCCTACCCAGGAGGATCCTCCCCCTGAGGTTGTGGGCACCTTTGGGGATGACCCGGCCATCTGGGAGCCTGATGTCCTGGGTACAGCAGCGGGCAATGACTATAACCGGGGGATGCAGCCTCAGACTCTCCTTGATGCACATGGTCAGGAAGGGCAACTGGGCCAGGTCGTCCCTAAGGAAGCCCGCCAACAATTATCCAGGCAGCAAAAACAGAGACCCTCCCCCCCAGTCCTCTACTGCCCCATGAGATCCCCTCTCCCTATACCAAAATAAATTCCAGATGGATCAAATATCTCCAAACTCATTGAATTTTGTACATTAAATATGTACAGCTTTTTATGTCAATCATACCTCAATAAAGTGGTTTTTAAAAAAGAAAAAAGAAAAGCAATATCACAAAAGAAAAGAAAATTTAGCTGGGTGTTTTTAGAAGGTTTTCTGAGCAAAACACGGCGCCCAAAAGCCAACCATAAAAAGTTTTACAAATTTGCATAAAAATTACATATTGTTTCTTGCAAGAGAGCAAAATCAAAAGCCAAATGAGTGAGAAACAACAGAAACAGATCCAATGTTCTTTCTATCATGGTTTTAAAGATACTAGCTAATGCAATTAGACAAGAGAAAAAAGGAGAGTAATGCAATCTGAAATGTAGGGGTAAATGTGTCATTTTTGGCAGATAGTGATTCTATGCTTAGAAAACACAAGAGAATACACCAGAAAACCTTTATAAACATTGAAGATAAAGTAAGGGGGTTAGATTCTTTTTCTTTAATCCCCTTCAAATTGTGTGGCGATTTAAATTTTTAACAGCTCATACAGTTAACTGGTTCAAACTGGAAAACTATAAAACACCACCCCTCTGACTCAACACCACTCATTTCCCATTCTCACAGTTTGCTTAGGTTCTTATTTTTTATTTATCCTTTCAGAGTTACTTTTTTGCATTAAAAAATTTTTAGAGTAGCATACTATATATTATGCACACTGCTCTGTATCTTTTTCATTCAACAGTATAGCATTCTCTTCTTGTATATTTCTTGGGATTTGTGTCAAGAATAAAGGCATCCATATTCTGGAATTATAAAATAATTTCCCACAGTTTCCTCTAGAGCTTTTAAGACACTTTTATTTTTTTATTTTGTTTAAAATAAAATTTTAATTTTATTTTAAAATTTTTTATTTTAAATATTTGATTCCATCTTGATGTTATATTATTACAAGACATAAGACGCAAGTTGAATTAACTTTTTTCTGGATAGCTCCCCAGTTATTCCAAGAGCTTTTTAATTTTTTTTAATATGACACTCCATGCTTACAATTTACTAGGTTCACTGGACACAAAATTTACATGCATATTTAAAAAATTAGTTTTCCCTAATGATGTACTATATGGTGACTAAATGACATAATAAAAAAAATTTTTTTAATTAGTTTTCCACGTTGAAATAACAATCAATTAGAAAAGATAAAAGAAAAGATGATGATGATGATATAAATACCTGGATTAAGCTTAGCCCCCCAAAAAATATAGAGATTGAAATCTGTATATTCCAATGAATTTTTAAACTTCTCTCAATACAAATAGAAGATATGAGTCAGCATAGCAACAGAAGTGTCTTAGAGTTAATTTAACAAAATATGCATAAGATCTCTAAGAGAAAAGTTTAGACTTTATTAAAAGACTAAAAGTATTCAAATATCCAAAAATGGGAGTATTCCTTCCACAATCTAGGATGGTATGTGTTCATATCATGAAGTAATCTGTTTCCACAAGTCAATCATATATTTAACTCAACCAATAGAATATATTCAGTTCAAGTGAAAATCTACCTGATACCTTTAGGAATTTGATAACCTTACTCTAAAACATTTCTGGAAGGATAAAAGATCATGAAGAGTTAGGTCAATCTAAAAATGAAAGATTAGGAGGTGCCTGGGTGGTTGGTTGAGCATCTAGCTCTTGATTTCAGCTCAGATCATGATCTCAGGTTTGTGGGATTGAACCCCATGTCAGGCTCCATGCTCAGCGCAGAGTCTGCTTAAGGTTCTCTGTCCCTCTGCCCATCCCCACCTCTCAAATAAATAAATAAATCTTTAAAAATAATAAAAATAAAAATGAAAGGGTGCCTGGGTGGCTCAGTTGGTTAAGCATCTGCCTTTAGCTCAGGTCATGATCCCAGGGTCCTGGGATCAAGCCCCGCATTGGACTCCCTGCTCAGTGGGGATCCTGCTTCTCCTTCTGCCTCTTCCCCTGCTTGTGCACTTTCTCTCTCTCATAAATAAAATCTTTTTTAAATTGTTAAAAAATAAAAATGAAAGATTAAGGAAGAGAAACTCACTCTACCAGATATTAAGACCTACCACAAAGGTGCAGTGATCAAATAAACAAACACCCAGTGTGGCCGTGCTGCAAGAACAGGAAAAGAGACCCATGCAACAGAAAATGTGAGTAACTGAAGCCTTAACATCTGGTAAGGGAAGCCCACAAAACCCTAGAATAAGTATAGACAGTGGGGCTGTGAAAGAAAATTTGGACAAATTTGTCTCCATAAAAATTAACCAAAAGTGCCCCTCAAAAGTCAAAAGGCAATCTTTTGCAACACAAGAGAGAAAAGGATTACTTTTTTAAGTGAGTTATTATAAGTGAATATGAAAAAAGAGAAAACCTCAAAGAGAAACAACAACAACAACAAAAAAAGGTGAGTACCACTCACATAAAGTGAAAGACAAATGGCTTATCAACATGTGCAGAAGAAAAATCCAAATAGACGTTTTTAAAAGACACACGAATGGCCAACAGGTACATGAGAAGGTGCTCAAAATCACTAATTATCAGGGAAATGCAAACCAAAACTACAATGAGATCTCACCTCACACCTCACAACTGTTAGAATAGCTATTATTAAAAACACAAGAGATAACAAATTCTGATGAGGATGTGGAGAAAAAGGAACCCTGTACAGTTGGTGGGACTGTAAATGGATACAGAGACTGTGGAAAACAGTATGACGTTTCCTCAAAAAAATTAAAAAGCAGAACCACCACACTATCCAGCAATCTCACCTCTGGGTGGTTATCCAGAGAAAATGAAAACTCTAACTCAAAAAGTGTATATATAACCCCATGTTCATTGGAGCATTATTAATAATAGCCAAGATTATGAAAACCACTTGTGCCCATCAATGGATGAATGGGTAAAGAAAATGTGATATATATTCAGTGGAATGTTACTCAGCCATAAAAAAAGATATCAAGCCATTTGCAATGACATAGATGGACCTTACAGGCATTATGCTAAGGAAATAAGTCAAAGAAAGACAAATACCATATGATTTCACTTATAGGTAGAATCTAAAGAAACAAACAAACAACAAAAACAAGCTCATGGATACAGAGACCAGATTGGTTGTTGCCAGAGGTGTGGGGAGGGAGGAAAATGGGTGAAGGAATCAAAAGGTAATAACTTCCAGTTATAAAATAATTAAGTCATAGGGATGTTATCTACAGCATTACATAGTTACTGTATTTTCATTAATAATACTGTATTGACTATAGTTAATAATACTGTAGGTAATCATACTGTATTGCATATTTGGAAGTTGCTAAGGGAGTAGATCTTAAAAGTTCTCATCTCACGAAAAAAAAATTCCATAATTATGTATGGTGACAAATATTAGCTAGACTATTTGTGTTGATCATTTTGCAATATACAAATATCAACTCATTTGTTGTACACCTGAAAGTAATAGAATGTATGTCAATTATACCTCAATATTAAAAAGCGTTGGGAGTAGCCCCCCAAAATGTGCAAAAGATGTTAAACCTCTTATTTAAAGAAATGTTCATAAAAAGAGGAAATATGAAAAATTGGCAAAGATTAAAAATTCAATACAATAATACCATAGGTAAAGGTATGGGAATGCTGACAACATCAAATTCGGCTGACAGGAGTAGATTTGTAATAGCTATCAAAATGACAAAAACTCAGACTGTCTTTGACTCAGCAATTGCCTTTCTGGAAATTTGCAGTGGAGAGACGTTCACCTGTGTAAGCGTGGGTCAGTGTTCACAGGTGTTGACTATCCCATGTTTATTTTAGCCAAAGGCTAGAAACAATCTAAATATCCACCAGTGGGAGAGATTTAGATAAATTATGTCACAGCCATTATGGTAGAATATTACACAGCAATCAAAAAGGAGGAATTAGGGCTCACAAGTCCTAACACACACTGCAGGCTGAAAAGTAAATCAGCACAGAGACTCTGGAAGGCAATTCAGCAATGTCTAGTATAATTGAGAATACTAACATGAGTGACCTAAAGGGGTGAACCAAGTAAACTATGGACAGCTATGCAGCACACAGAAAGAAAGAGCTGTAAGACACATTGTTGAGTGAATAGAACAAGTTACAAACTGTATGTATACAGAAATGCAAATTGTGTTAATGGACAAAAAGATGAGAGAGAGAGATGATAGATATAGATGATATAGATAATAGATGTATAGATAGACAGATAGTTATGGAAAGACACATGACAAATCAATGAATCTGGAAACCCCTAGGGAGACAGGAAGGGATTCAGTTGGGGGGCAGGAAGTCAATGATAACTGTAGTCTCCTTTATAATGTCTCAGGTCAAGAAGAACTTGTTCTCGTCATTGTTTTTGTAATTCAAAACTACTTTTCCAACACTCATGTTTTGAGGAAAAGAAAAAATCTCAAAGACACGTTGCTAATGTATACACCTTAATTCCCATTGGATGGGGTAGGGAGATAGTTTTCATATAAATGTGGGTATAAGGATAGAGGTCTTCTGGAAGGACACATAGGAAATCATTGACAGGAGTTAGTCCTAGAGTGAAGATTTTTTTAAAAAGTTCATTTCTATTATAAACTCTTCCTTTTAAAAATTTATTAATTTATTTGAGGGGGAGGGGGACGGCGGAGAGAGAGAGAGAATCTTAAGCGTACTTCACGCTGAGTATGGAGCTGGACATGGGGCTCAATCTCACAACCCCGAGACCATGACCTGAGTGAAAATCCAGAGTCAGATGTTTAACCAACTGAGCCACCCAGGTGCCCTGATTATAAACTCTCTTTTACAGGGGAACCTGGGTGGCTCAGTCATTAAGCGTATGCCTTTGGCTCAGGTCATAATCCCAGGGTCCTGGGATCAAGCCCCACATCGGGCTCCCTGCTCCAAGGGAAGCCTGCTTCTCCCTCTCCCACTCCCCCTGCTTGTGTTTCCTCTCTTGCTGTGTCTCTCTCTGTCAAATAAATAAATAAAATCTTTTTTAAAAAATTCTCTTTATATACATTTTTTAAATCAAGTGTATAGTTTTGTTTGAAATCTTGGTTGAAACAGCATAAAAGTGTTTCTGTATTCTATCCCCCAGGACCACTGTGCTGAGCGAAGGCTTGGAGTGGAAAATACTACTACAAGATGCATGTCCAGTTCAATGCCTGCTCAACATCCCCAAGCCCCTGGTCTGCCCCAGACCTCAGAATCCCCTCCCTGGTCCCCATCCTGCAGCTTGTCCTCTCCAGTATGTTCCCCACACTAGCCCTAGAAAGATCTTCCTGGTACCCAGATCTGACCTGTCTTCCTCCCGCTCACACTATTCCGCAGTTCCCCATTGCCCTTGGGTTAACAACTGAAACCAATGACATTGCTTCTAAAGTCTTCCACAACCAGCCTCTGCTGCCATTCCCCAGCCACATCACCTCACCATGAGTCAGTGTCTGTTTCTCTTTTTCTTTCTGTCTGCCCCTGTGTGTCTGCCTGTCTGCCTCTCTTTCTCTCTCTCTCCTCCCCCTCCTCCCTTCTTTCTCTCTGTTTCTCCCCTTCTCCCTCCTTCCCCCTCTCTTCTCCCTTTCCCTCTTCCCTTCCTCCACTCCTCTTCACTTTTGCCCACTCTGTCCTCTTGAACTAACTGCACCCCAACTACACCCAAATATCTACTGATCATCACTCAGTGTCTCAGCAGAGGTACCCTCTCTACCCTTAGCCTTGCCTCTCATACTCTCCACCCTAGTCCAGCCCATGTGGACCAGGAGTGTCCTGACCTGACACAATTCCCCCACCAGTCTAGAGCTCTTGGAAGACAAGGGCCAGGGCAGGTTCCTTCTTGGGTCTCCAGGACACAGTATGAACTAGTAAAAATTGGAGAAGGTACGGAACTGGGAATAGAAAGGCAGTGTGGCAGTGTTCTCTGAATGGGGGTTGGATGGATGAAGATGCAGGTGTTCCTGGACAAGAACCGAATGATTTTAAAACCACATATCCCAAACGAATCCTGGACTGAACGATATGGAAGAAATTAGAAGGCAAGAGAGAAACAAACATTTAGGGAGTGAAGATGTTCAGGGGGGGAAAATGTGATTTAAGAGAGAAAAGTAAGAGAATGGAGTGGAAGTTCACTTACTGAATATGTACTAAGTGGCATCATCTGCCTTCAAACATTGTCACTAATTCTCTCAGCAGCCCGGATCTTTCTCACTTTCCCCTGCTCTCCAGACTGGGGACAGACCCTGTCTCTGAGCTCTGCTCCTATTTTCACTAAGCAATAATGACAGAATTAACCAAAAGATTCTTCCCCTTCCCCAACTAGGGAACAAAGCCAATGAGAGAGGTTCAGGAAAAAACCATGACAACCTGCACTCACCATTCAATCTCTTGAGGCTCACGGTCCCTCAGGAGCTCTTGCACCTCCTGCCGACAGCGTTCCTGGTATTCTGGGTGCTTTGCAAGGTTGTACAGGACCCAGGAGAGGCCACTGGCTGTGGTGTCATGGCCTGAGAGGCAGCCAGACTTACATCTCTGGGCTTATTCAGCACCAGAGGGTGGACAGCACCCTTAATTAAGGGCGTCGGGGGGATGGGGAGGATGAGGTGGGATGGGGTGGTCCAGGGCCAACCTGCCAAGTCCTTGGGATTGGACAAACCCCTGCCCCCCTATAGTCCCACACTGGGATGCTCACCCTCAAACATAAATGTGTCAGCTTCAGCTCGGATGTCCTTGTCTGACAATTGTTTTCCATCTTCATCCTGGAGAGAAGTAAGACACCCCCCCCACACACACACACCGAATCATATCAGCTCTGAGAGCTCCTGAGCCTAACCTGAGACAATCTCTGAAGCTCCAGCATCCATCCAAAAACCCAAGCCCACCCTACGCTCTTACACCTCCTTTGCTCACTATCACCAGAGACCCCACTCCACAGCTCTCCTCCTTGACCTCTTTCCCTCCTCCTTCATTCCTGGGGGGGGAAATCAATGATCCATGAATATTTTCATGTTTCTACCTGATGAGAATTTTCAGAAAAAAATTGAACTGGCAATCTGGATTACAGGAGATTGAATGACAACTTCCCTTGGAAGTTAGAGATTGAGCATTGCTCCAGAGCCATTTGCTCACATTCTAGGATAGTAAATCCAGAGATTCTTCAACTCCCCTGGCAATAAGCCAACAGAACCTGTAAACGTTGCTTTGCCTTCTCGATGAAGAGGACTTGTTTATACACCAACACTCTCTGTCTCTCTGCCTCTCTCTCTCTCTCTCTCTCTCTCACACACACACACACAGAATAAGAAGGGGCAGATTTGTCAGCAGTCCTTCATAAGTTCCAAGATTCATAATGCAGAGTTACCTCTCGATGAAGAGGACTTGTTTATACACCAACACTCTCTGTCTCTCTGCCTCTCTCTCTCTCTCTCTCTCTCTCTCACACACACACACAGAATAAGAAGGGGCAGATTTGTCAGCAGTCCTTCATAAGTTCCAAGATTCATAATGCAGAGTTACCTCTCCTGTGATGGAAGCATGGCTGCATGTACAGATAAAAGCATCATGTAGCTCTCAGAAGAATTTTAGAATGAGGAACCACACCTACAATTCTACTCTGGCTACCCTTACTTCCATGAGCAATAAATGGGCTTCTCTGATCTAGGTTCTTGTATATAAATAAACACACACACACACACACACACACACACACACACACACACACACTAGACTACCATATTAAGTAGAATAAAATCTCAGGCCCTTCCCAGTTTCAGACATAGCAGTCCCCTGCAGGCTGCATTCCACATAGTCATCTCTAAAACATATCCCTAATCCCTCCCTCCCTCCCTCAAGCACCTTCCATGGCTCCCCAGTGCCCTCTGAATCAAGTCTCAGTTCCTCAATCTGAAATTTGAAATCAAAACCCATTCTACCTCTTGAATTCAGATCCCAGAGAAACCCACCTTGGTCAGCAGGAGGACATCAATGAAGTCCAAAGTCTTGGTCTTAGCCTTGGCCTCGAGGAAGTCATCAACACCCTGATCAGAGAGAATGCGGCGCCGCTCCTGGATGACAGCATCTGTGAAGTTGTGCACCAGGCGGCAGGCTCTGCGGAAGCGCTGTCCATCTGGAGTGAGGTAGTACAGGAAGTCCGTGTGCATGAGGATCTGTTGGTGCCGTTTCGCCACAAGGGCACTGAGCTCTAAGATGGCAGCAATATATTCACTAGGCTTCCTGCAGGATGGGGACATGAAGGGGGGCAACAGCTTAGCTCACCTGAAGACTGAGAAAATGCCTCCCACCAGAAGCCGGGAGCTACCTCCAATCAGAAAACTGAGTATCCGAGAAGAGATGGCCCCACAGGTACATGGTGGGGATGATCCAGGAGACGTGACTTTCCAGAATTTCTTCTCTCCCTGATTCCCATTTCTATGAGCGGCCCCCATGCCCCAGGCACCCTATCCCAGCTGAGACATTATGCTTTCCTCCTCCTTCTCCATGCAATTCAGACTTTATCTTCTCCCCTTTGGTCAGTGGACCCAGGCCCCTCCCTAGTCTTGCATTCAATGTCAATATCATCCGCCATCTACACAACGATTGGTCTTCTCTAGAGTCAGAAGTCCAAGAACAGCTTTGACCATGACCCTCAAAACTGCTCAACCACCTTCCATGCCTCCCTGGAAACCTCAGGATAAAGTTCATATGCCTTTGTCTGTATCTTGAAAGTCCTTAAGATACAGCTCCTACCAAACCCTCCAACCTCACTCCTAAGGTGACTCCTCACTATGGCACATGCTTTGCTCACTGTGGCCCCATGGCCTTTATCAAACATTTCTACCTACCTGAAAGGATCACTCTTTCTCTTTCCCTTCCTTGTCCTTCAATGTCTAGCTCTGATCCATCTCCTCCAGGAAGTCCCCTCTGATTGTGCTGACCAGTCCTCCCTTCCCCATTCACTCCCTTATGTTCTCATGCCCGGGGCAGAGACTCACTCCTGGCAATTGCTGTCAAAACTGAAGACACATTTCTGCAGACTGTCCAGGGTCATGAGGCTGATGTGTTCAAACATGTTCAGATGGGTGCTGCCCTCAGACACCAGGCGTTTCCACTTGGCCTGGGAAGAGAAGGAGGCAGAGCAGGGTCTGGAACCTGCCTCCCCTGAAGCCCTTCTCAACACCAACCTCCAAAATGGAATCCCCCAGACCCAACCTCCTGGCCCCAGGCACCCATCCCCAAGGAGGACCAGGCTTGGGTAGAAGTAGAAGCTGTTACTATTAAGATCCCATGGCTGGGAGTCAGGAGACCTGGGTTCAAATTCTGGCTCTGCCTCCTATACTCTGTGTGCCCTTGGTCAACTCATTGCCCTCTCTGGGCTCCACCTGCCAAAGCTTCAGTAACAGTTAAGATGACTTGCTCTGGTGTCAAATAAACCAGGATGGAATCCCGGCTCCACTTGTTAGCTCACGAGCTAGCTGTGTGAATGTGGGCAAGCTCCCTAACCTCTCTGAACCTCATTTTTATCACCTGTAGTGGACAAGATTATCTCTACCTTATAGAGTTGTGAAAATCAAATGAGACACCATATGTCATGGAATTGCACATAGTTTCTAGCAATAGTAAGTGCTTAATGTTAGCTTTCATCATTTCATTGTTATAAATTAAGAAAAAGTCTCCTTTTGGGAGCGCCTGGGTGGCTCAGTCGTTAAACATCTGCCTTCGGCTCAGGTCATGTCATGGGATCCAGTCCCCCTTCGGGCTCCCTGCTCAGCGGGAAGCCTGCTTCTCCCTCTCCCACTCCCCCTGCTTGTGTTCCCTCTCTCGCTGTCTCTTTCTCTGTCAAATAAATAAATAAAATCTTTTTTAAAAAAAGAAAAAGTCTCCTTTTTGAGAGAGGTAGCCCATGGTCACTGAGCTGCACATTCTTTTTTTTTTTAATTTTATTATGTTATGTTAGTCACCATACAATACATCATTAGTTTTTGATGTGGTGATCCACGATCCATTGTTTTCGTATAACACCCAGTGCTCCATGCAGTACGTGCACTCCTTAATACCCATCACAGGGCTAACCAATCCTCCCTCCCCACTCCCCTCTAAAACCCTGTTTGTTTCTCAGAGTCCATAGTCTCTCATGGTTCATCTCTCCCTCCGATTCCTCCCCCCTTCATTTTTCCCTTCCTTCTCCTAATGTCCTCCATGCTAATCCTTATGTTCCACAAATAAGTGAAACCATATGATAATTGACTTTCTCTGCTTGACTTATTTCACTTAGCATAATCTCCTCCAGTCCCATCCATGTTGATGTAAAAGTTGGGTATTCATCCTTTCTGATGGCTGAGTAATATGCCATTGTATAGATGGACCACATCCTCTTTATCCATTCATCTGTTGAAGGGCATCTCGGCTCTTTCCACAGTTTGGCTATTGCGGACATTGCTGCTAGGAACACTGGGGTGCATATGGCCCTTCTTTTCCCTACATCTGTGTCTTTGGGGTAAATACCCAGGAGTGCAATTGCTGGGTCATGGGGTAGCTCTATTTTTAATTTTTTGAGGAACCTCCACACTGTTTTCCAAAGTGGCTGTACCAACTTGCATTCCCACCAACAGTGTAAGAGGGTTCCCCTTTCTCCACAACCTGTCCAACATTTGTTGTTTCTTTCCCTGTCCATTTTTGCCATTCTAACTGGTATAAGGTGGTATCTCAATGTGGTTTTGATTTGAATTTCCCTGATGGCTAATGATGGTGAACATTTTTTCATGTGTCTGTTAGCCATTTGTATGTCTTCTTCAGAGAAGTGTCTTTTCATATCTTCTGCCCATTTTTTGACTTGATTATTTGTTTTTTGGGTGTTGAGTTTGAGAAGTTCTTTATAGATCTTGGATACCAGCCCTTTATCTGTAGTGTCATTTGCAAATATCGTCTCCCATTCTGTGGGTTGCCTCTTTGTTTTGTTGACTGTTTCCTTTGCTGTGCAGAAGCTTTTTATCTTGATGAAGTCCCAAAAGTTCATTTTTGCTTTTGTTTCACTATGAGTTGCACATTCTTGCTGGTATGCCCCAAAAAATGCAAGGCCCTGATGTTCTATACTTGAGCCATTTCTCAGAGTTGTGTTTGCAGCAAACACCTTTAGGGATAAGGTAATGTTTCCCCCTGGACAAATGTCAGGCTTGGTTCTAATGTCTAAAAAGTCATAGAGTCCCTAAACCTGGTACCCCTACCCTATCATGCAACATACTGCATAAGCACTGAAGCCCACCTGTGTTATCCTCATGGGATTTGGTGACTTACAGAAAGAATGCAAATCAAGAAGCCTGTGTGCTTGTTGTACCATGAGTAATAAACTGTCCTTTGTCTCTGACACAGGAGTCTCCTGTCTTCTGACAGAATCCACAAAACAATAACAATTTCACTCCTCAGCTTGCAAGTATGAAAAAAATCCCAGGCACTTTACAAAACCTCCACCTCCATTTCTTCACTTCCCTATATCCATACCCTCTGCAACGTGATTTTTCAGCAACTGCCATTAAGAGGTGGAGGCTCTCTCACTACCTTTGGATTCTATGCTGGCCTTTTGCCTTGCTTTGACCAATAGACCATGGTGAAAGTGATGAGATGATCTCCCTACACCTAGATCTCAAGAGGCATTGAGGCTTCCTCTCAGTCTCTTGGAACCCTGCCTCAGCCATGTGAACAAACCTGAAATGCCTTCTGGAGGGAGAGAATCACATTAAAGAAAGTTCAGTTGTCTGAGATGAGACCACTCTAGATCAGCCTGCAGCCAGCCAAGCCCCAAACATGTGAGAGACCAGATCTCCAAAGTATATACATGACCCACAGCTGATCACAGGTACATGTGACCCCATCCATGTCCAGAAGACCCAGCCAACTGACTCACAGACTTGTTAGCAATAATAAACCTCAATTGTTTGGGACCAGTGATTTTGGAAGTGGTTCATTAATTCAGTAATAACTACTGTGTGATGTTCATGGACATTCAACTGTGTCTCAGGTTCCAAGGCTTCTTTGCAAGGAAAACAGAAACTAACACCTTCTGAGCACCTTCTATGTGCCAGGAACATGACTATATTACATTATCTTGACCACCCTGCAACGTGGAGACCATTATTCCCATTTTACAGCTGAGAAAATTGAGACTCAGAGAGCCAGAGCAATGGCCCCAAAGCTAACCTAGAAGAGCCAGTATTCCAGACAAGACGTCACAGAGCCCCCATCACCCCCAAGGCTTCAGCTGGGACCCTGGGTTCAGAAGACTTACATGCATGACATTCACGCTATCATTGAAAATCTTCATATAGAGCTTCAGGATGTTGAAGTGGAAGGCAGGTGTCAGCATGTGGCGGTGGCTTCTCCATTTGTCACCAGCACTCAGCAGAAGCCCATCCCCTAGTAGAGGCAGCCAGGAGGAGTGGACAAGAGCAGTGCCTTTCCCTGGGCCCCCAAGGTTGTCCCCAGTCCCCTTTACCCACAGTTACTCACCCAGCCAGGGCTTCAGGAAGTTGTAGAAGACAAAGTCCTTGGGCGCAATGGCAGCTGACATGAATGAGGACCATCAGGAGATGCACTTTGGGTTTGGGGGGGGTAGAAGCTCCCACCAGGGGTCTGCATACCCCCTCCAAGCCCAGCATAATAGGAATGCAAACAACGGCAAAGGAAACAGAGAGGAGTTGGGAGGTGAAGGGAGACCAGACCAGGCTGCAGCACAGAGCAGAGTAAAGGCAGAGTCTGCAGACACACACTTATGTACTTAGATGCACCCTAACATGACACAACACACCCCAGCAGACCTTGACATGGCTCCTACCTGGTCCAATGTGTTCAAAACACCCAAACACAAATCAGCACTCCACAAAATGCCTTTACAGGAAAGTAGGACACCTCATCTGTCCCAGAGCCCCCTGACCTCTCCTGCAACAGTTAACATGGCCCCACCATGTGTTGGGCTATGTCCTGACATGTCCTGACATGAAACAACATGCATAACACACACTGACAGGATGCAACATGCTCTGACGTGGACCCAAAAACAACCTGACAAAACCTCAGTGTGACCCACAGATGGTCCAGACAGGACTTAAATATGACCCACTAATGTCACAGCTGTAGACTAGGTATGACACGGACATATCCTAAGACCTGCCCTGGACAAGACTCACATAAGCCCTCAGCATTTCTCAGGACTCTGGGTCGCTGACCTCAGACAAACCCCAAACGTGGCCCAGACATGACCTACAGGAGAACTGGACATCTCAAATGGTATCTCAGACAAAAACCAGACAGACCCCACACATGCCTCAAATATCCCTGGCCACAGACAAGCCCCAGACATGACTAAAGGCATCTTCACTTGATCTCAGGTATAACTATATACCAGGTATAATCAAGCATGATGTATACCAGCTGTAACCAGAAGGCAGGTGGAAACATAAATGTGAGCAGACATGGCCACCCAGCAGACATTGCACAATCACACCCTAGGCATGAGCACACATGACTGCAGGTCTGGCGGGGGGGGGGGGTCCAGGTGAGACAGAGACAGTGGCATCTCTGTCACAACCCACCCCCCATCTGCAACTGGGCCACCAGCCAAGCTGGAAGCAGCACAAAGACCTCAGCAGTGAGTAAGCCGTGACCATGGTGTGTCTACCTGGAGCAAAGAGCACAGGCTTGATGCAGGTGGGGTGGAAGATGCGGATAACTGCATTCCAGGGACCCACCCACCAGCAGCACACATCCCCATAGCTCCTTGCCAGGTCCTGTGTGTACAGGAGACCTTCCTCTGAGCTCTGAATCTGGAGAGGAACAAAGAGGACCCAACTCACACTCTTTCTAGGTGGCCATGGGATAGAAGGACGTGCAGGGCAAGACCCAGACCTGAGCCTCATGAATCCCCTCCAGCAGCCCAGCCTCCTCCTGGGATCCCTCCCCAGACCATCCATATGACAACTGATTACAAAAAACAAAAAGGGTCTTTCCCCATTTGGGATCCCAAACACCACGTTCACCTGGCTTCTCTTCTAACCTCATTTTCCAGATAAGAGAACTGAGGCTCTGAATGATGAAGTCACTTGCCTACAATCTCCCAGGTACTGAGTACATTCTTGAGATCTAAGCCCAGGTCTGTCTGAACCCAGAGCCTCTGTTCTTAGCCACTGAACTGCTTTGAGTCCCAAAATAATAGCTCTGAGAACCTATGCTTGCCAAAACCAGGCAATCAGATCCACAGCGATTAAATGAAAAATTGGGGCACCTAGGTGGCTTAGTCAGTTGAGCATCTGCCCTCAGCTCAGGTCATGATGCTGGGGTCCTGGGATTGAGTCCCACATCAGGCTCCCTGCTCAGTAGGGAGCCTGCTTCACCATCTCCCCCTGCCCCTCCCACCTGCTTGTGCAGTCTCTCTCTCTCTCAAATAAATAAGATTTTTTATAATTAATTAATTAATTAATTAAAAATTGACCTTGGGGTGCAGGCCAGGAAAATTAAAGGGAATTCTGCAACTTTTCCTGGAACTGTTGGGAATAAGCTGACTTTTCCACAGGGGTTGAGCTTCTGGGACTCATCTTTACAATAATGAGAATGAAGCCATCACAGTGCAAAACAGAACCAAAAAAAAAAAAATGAAGACAGATTTTGATGATGTTGTTTGAGACCTGGATCCAGCCATACCTGAAGACAACATCCCTGGACTTCACTATAAATAGATGTCCTTTCTTTGATTAGACCATATGGGGTTGAGTTTCCATCACTCACAATTGAAAGAGACCTTGGCAGCCAGAGAGAGCTGGGGGTCTTCCCTGCTAACCCAGAATTTGGGTGTCAAAGTCAAGGTCTCTGTCAGATGCTGCTCATTTCCCTGCTCAGCCTGATCTGTCTGGAGGTGGAAGAAGCAGAAGACAAGGGAAGGGAGCCAGGCTGGGGTGGGCTCTCTTCAGGGAGATTCCTGGGGCCTGGAGCAGGAGGGCAATGAACATGCAGTGGACAAGCTGTAGGATAGGGTGGAAGGAACCAACCCACCAGAGTGTCTGTGGATATCACAGAAATAGCAGCTCAGGTACTCCGCCAGCTGCCAACCATCATTGTTCTGGCCCTGGGGATGGGTGAGAGCGAGACCAGGCCCAGCAGGGGACCCCAGATGCTATGGATGTCCACAGCATCACTCTGCCCTCTGCTTTTAAAAAAACTTTGGTCTTGTCCCAGACCCAGGTCCAGTAACTCCTCCTCCAGGAAGTCTTCCAGCCTGCCCCAACAGAGGCCTTGATTCTCCTCTGGGCTGCCACAGCCATCTCCTTCCGGCCAATTCCTTACATCACCAGTTTGGGGATTTCTCTGTCTAGATCCGTCTCCTCAAGATTGGGGATTCCTCCAGGACAGAACCTTGGAATGAGGCCTCTTGGGGCCCCAGTGGTGCCGAGAGCATCAGGGTGGGGGCGGGAAAGCAGACAGCAGTGGAGGGAGGAGAGGGTGAGAAGGGGGTTGGAGAATATACGAAGGAAAGAGGAAGATGCTGAGAGAGAAGAGGGGAGGAGGGGCCAGGGACCTGCAGGGGCTGCAGGGAAGCTTGGAGATGAGGAGATTAAAAGCCCTGGGTTGTGTCAAGGCGCCCACCACCACAAGCTCTGCATGAGTACCTGAGGCACTGGTGACACTCCGGACCATGTCAGGGTGGCAAGAAACGACCAGGGGGATGGTGGGGCCCAGCCACAACTTAAACCCCTGGGTGTACGTGGCCACCAGCTGAGTTATGACCCTCAAGCCCTGCTCCGTGGGGGGGACCTACAAGGAAACAGGGGTCGTCACCTCCCCAGAAGGAGCCACAGCAGGTCCCCCTGCAGCCTCTGTAGTGCACAGGGCGTCCAGATTCTGCATGGATGGAGGGAATCTCTGCTTCCTCCTGCTCCCTCCCTCTGGGGACAGGAGGGTCCTGGAGGCCTCTCCACGTCTCATAGGTGCATCCTAGGTCACAGGGAGAAGACATGCTCTCTGCCCACAAAGAGGCCAACCATGGCTTGAGAAGTCAGATTTTTCTTCTCCTGGGGGTGGTTCCAAACTCAGCGAGGTCCCCATGAGGAAGGTTTGTGGTCAACAGGGTGGCCTCAGGACTTCTACTGGGGCTCATTCCCACACCTTGTCATGTCCTGGCCGGTTCCTCACATGGTGAAGGATCAGCAGACCTTCCAGCCCTGGCGGACCCCAGGGGACAGATGTGAACTCTGCTCAGCAGTCAAGAGGGCAGCTCCCACCTATGAGCCCCTACTGCCTGCCAGGCTGTGCATAGAGCATCCTGTCTGTCTGTCTGTCTATCTATCTATCTATCTATCTATCTATCTATCTATCTATCTATCTATCTATCTTCCCTGAACCTATGGACTCTCATCAGTTGTGCCCTTTACAAATGAGGAAACTGGGCCACATCCCCCAAATGGAGAAATGGCATGGTTAGCTCCTGGGGATGCATCCTCTCCAGTCCCTCTCCATCCCTCCAGGATGCCCCATGCTGGCCTGACAAATACTCCCAGGTGCTCCAGACAGGTGAACAGAAGCCATTTTCACCTTTTTGACTGCCCTGTGCTCCCCAGGGACCCTGAGGCCTTTTATGAGGTTGGTCCAGAGAGGGAGAGTGACTCAGCTGAGCTCACACAGCAAGAGGAACTAGAGGAGAGAAGAGTGATCCAGACCAGTCTCCGTGGCCAAGCCATGGAGGGGGAGTGGGAGCAGTAACTTGATAACATTCCTGCCACCCCCAGGGTTTGTTAAGAACATTCCAAGACCCAGAATCTAAGGCAACCTTCACAATGAGCCTCGGGAATGCCCCCGTTCTGACCTTAACTATAATAAGCAGTAAAATCACAGGAAGTCCTTCCCCCAGCCGTGGTCCTCATCCTGGGCAGTTAAGGTGAGCTGTGCCCATCCATCAGCCTGCCTGGGGATGGGAGGAGCTAGCTGTTCATCCTTTGGCCTTGACCATGGCAGGGGAGCGCAAGTTTACCACCTGTGTCATCAAATGCTTAATTTGAGTGTCTGCTGTAGGCCAGCCAGTGGGCTGGGCACTCTAGTGCCTGCTCCCCAGAGCAACTATCTAGTTGGAAAGGTGGAAGATAAGTAATTGAACAATTAACTCTTTAATTAAGCATGAGCAGACCCACAGTAGAAGTCAATATCTGGGGTGCAGGAGAGGGGTGAAAGAAAGCTTCTGCAAGGGGAAGGGAGTGGTTAACTTTATTCAGGTTGCATAATGGGCCCATTGGGACATCTTAGCAGGGAAGAGGAAGCTGTCCTGGGAAGGGGTGTGGGTGGGAAGCTAGACCCCTGTGGGTTGGGGTAGGGAGGTCATAGCTAATTCTTGTAGACAAGTGAGCAGACACAAGAGAATGGGCCAGGCAAGGAGTGGACCCTGGACAGCGCCCTGGAGAAGGTCTCCAGGATAGCTATGGGCCCTGGGAACCCCAGGGGACTGTGCCTTTGCAGCCTGCCATGGGAGCCCCTCAGGGGGACATTAATATGGGGAAGAGAGGCAGGAAGTGGATCCAAAACAGGCTAAAGGTGGGAGGACAGAGATGTGCAAATGGCCCGGGACAGCCGAGTGGAAGAGTGAGTGAGTAAAGAGGGGCTCCACTAGCCTCCCTGCTTCTCCCCTGACCCAGACCCCAGCCCAACCCCTGATCCCCACTCCCGGCCCCTCGGGAAGTCCATTCACCCCGATGGCCCAGACCATGTCCCACCCACACTCACCAGGCCCACGTGGCCCCATAACCAGCTCCGTCCTGGGGGCTGCGGGAAACACCGGAGGCGGCAGCAGATGTCATGGAAGCGGTGGCTCCAGGCCAGGACGCGGGCCAGCAGCCAGGTGGCCCCGGCCAGCAACAGGAGCAGCCACGGGGAGGCGGCCAGCTGCCCCAGGCCCAGCCAGGACAGGCTCCACTGTGACATCCTGGGGCACAGGGGACAGAGGGGGAGCTCCTGAGACCCAGCAGTGGGGCAGAAAGTGAGCTCCCTGGACTGCTCACAAATGGGGGGGCAGGATGGGAGGGACAGGGACAGGGAGGGGCAGGGAAGGTGAGCGCGGGGCGGGGGGGGGCTCTGAGCAGGGGGGTGGAGACGGGGGATTGCGGGGGAGGAGGCAGAGGGAGCGGGCGAACTGGATCCGTGGGGGGTTGGCTGGTTATCCGGTTACTGGTAGCGGCTCTTCCCCCAGGCCGGTTGCTTTCTGGAGCCCCTTTTGGCTGGGCCTTGGTCGCTTCCTTCCCCCCCCGGTGGTGGTCCCCCCAGGCTGGTTCCTTCCTTCCGGCGCCGGTTGGTCACCGTCCCTCCTCTCTTCTCCTGTCTGGTCGTGTTTGGTTTTTGTCCCTGGCCTCTGGGCTTCGGCTTGGGGGAGGCTGGGCTTGGCTTGGTGTGCCTGTGTGGGTTCTTCTGTCTTCCCCCTTTGGCCGTGGGCGCCGTGGTGGTGGTGGGGGGGGCGTTGGGGGTTTTCACGGTGGTTTCGGTTCTGGGTCCTCCGGATTTCGGCGTTTCCCCGTTGGGTTGGGGGGTTGGTTTGGGGGTTGGGCAAGGTTGCTTTTGGGCCCCAAGTGAACAGCCACCTGTGCCCTTTCAAAGCTGGGGTGCAGCAGGTAAAAGCTTCAACTTGAGAGTTCAGGTGCCATGGGAACAGGATCAGGCCAGCCTCCTCCCAATACATCTCTGGGTTTCCCCTCAATGTGTGAGTCAGGAGGGTGGCCTGCACCACTTTTCAGCACAGAATCAGGAAGCCTCTGGCCTCTGGACTGCACAGCCCGGCAGCAGTTCAAGTCCTGCCTCCAAGCAGCCCAGAGCCTGGGTTGAAACATGACTGCTGGGGGCAGGAGCAAAGAAATGGGCCTGGCTGGGGATTACCTGCATCAGATTCAGGGGTGAAGGGGTCCGGTCTAAAGAATGCACCTGGGGGTGAGGAGGTAAGGCTGCAGGGGCCAGGGGCCAGGAGAGGGCGGGGACCAGACAGAGGAAGCAGAGCTGGGAGACCCTGAGAGGAGTTCTGCCCCATCCTGGCTGTGACTATGGGCTGTGACAGGCCCCTGTGGGCTCAGTCTTGCCATCTGAGAAATGGGGGGTCAGATGAGGGCCTGAGATTAGGGCAGAAGGCAGTTTCACAGGATGATGGAAAGGATCAGAAGCCTCCAAAAAGACAGACTGAAGAGAAAGGGCTGGAAACCGGTATTTGTTCTACCGTGTGTCAGCACTCCACATAAAGTAAACCTACTCTTGCAGAAGACTGTATGTATAGTGCACCTACTGTGTGCTGGGCACCTCAAAAAACATGCCTACAGTGTGCTGGGAACTCTACATGAAGTGTGCTTACTATGTGCCGGGTACACTATATAAAGTGCACCCACTGTGTGCCAGGGACTCTCCACAATGTGCACCTTCTGTGTGCCAAGTACTCTACACAAATCTTGTGTATGCCAGGTGTTCTACCTAAAGCATGCCTACTGTGCGCTGGGTACCCTCCCTCAGGCATGCCTCCTAAGTGCTAGGTGCTCTACCTAAAGCACACTTACTGTGTGCTAGGTACTCTATGTAAAGTGCACCTACTGTGTGCTGGGTGTTCTATGTAAAATATACCTACTGAGTGCCAGACATACTACATAAAGAGTGCCTACTATGTGCTAGAGGTTCCACATAAAGCATGTCCACTGAGCGTGCCAGGGATTGTGCACAAAATGCTCCTCCTGTGCGCCAGGTGCTCTACACAAAGTAAATCTACTGGGTGACAGATGTTCTGCAATGAGATAATTCATCACACACACCCCCCTCACCTCTCCAGGCCAGTGCCCTAAGATCAGGCAGAGAGACCCAGGCGATGAAATCCACAGGAGGGAAGATACCTACTTCACGGAAGAGAAATCTGAGGCTCAGAGAGGGCAAGACTCTAGCCCAAGTTGCAGAGCTGGAAGGAAACCAGGTCTGTCATATTCTCAAGCCCAAGCCTTTCCCCACTGCCATGCTGCTCCACGCTGTTCATAAAGGACAATGCCCTGTGAATCCAGGGACACCTCTATGGTGGAATCTCAGGCAATGTGGTGACCCAGAGGGAGAACCCTTGAGACACTCATATTGCCAGGTAGATTATCCTCTCACATCCAGGATGCATCAACCAACGGATCTAGTGCTCCTCTCTGGGCCCCATCCTTGGTCCTGTCCAAAATTGCCTATGGGGTGGTCTTAGGTGAGAAGACATGAGGGAATGGGCTCCTGGCAAAGCTACTGAGCAGGGGATGGGGAAAGAGTCCTCCTGACACTGGTAGGGTGTTGGTGAGACCCCAAACTTCCCCCTCCCCCACTCCCATGGGCCAGGGGGTTCGGGTGACTGGTCCTAAAGCCCTCACCTGCCCTGCTTTTCCTCCCTCTCCATGGAGGCAGACTTCCCCTGCTGGCAGGTCCATCCACATATTGGTCAGGGAGCATGGCCAGAGTACACTAATCCAGACAGGATCCTGGACACACAAGACAAAGAGCCCCCAGTGCCCACAGGGGCTCAGCTCACTGGGGACCTACTGTGTGCCAAGGATGGGCAGGCAGCTACAGCAGGAATGGCATTTGCCCACATGAGCCACGATCTTGTTTTAAGCCCTGTAGTTATATTCACCACTTTCCCCCACTCATTTTACAGACGACAAAGCTGAGGCTGAAAGCTCTTTGAGTGACTTGCCCAAAGTCCTACAGCTGGTGAAGCCAGGCCATGCGCCAGGCATCCCCACTTCACCCTGGGTGCCCTGAACCACCAGACCGAGTTCCTTGCATCTACACATGGGCATTTCATTAGCACCACCTCTGAAGGTAGCAGGAATAATTTTAAAAGACAATGCACATAAAACACATAGGACAGAGGAAGGGCTTAATAAATCCCAGTCACTGTTATTGCTACTGTTGTTATATAATTATCCAACAACCCTGCAGTATCCCATTCATGCACTCGTTTTTACAGAAGAGGAACCAGAGATTCAGATAGGGGAATCAACTTGCTCAAGCCCCACAGCTGATTAGGTAAATATGACAGCAAGGTGACAAAAAAAGCCTTGCACATAGTCAATGCTCATTGAATATCTGGGGATGAAAGAAAGGTTTGCAGCCATGAGCCCTAAGGATTGGCTACTCGGTGTGGCCCTCAGACCTCCACCATAGGTATCACCTGAGAGCTGGCAGGAAATTGAGAATCTTGCACCACTACTCAGAAATATTGACTCCAAACTGCATCTAAGTAGAACCTCAGGAAAACTGTGTACAAGCCTTCAAGTTTTCAGAAATGTTGCTTTAAGACCTCTGAGACCAGGTTCTGCAGGGAAGGTGGGGAGGGGAAAAGTGAAGTCTTTCCTGATTCCCAGGGTTGTTTTTTCTTTTTTTTTTTTTTCACTTATAAAATAAGGAGAAAAATCTAAATCTCCAGGGGCTGTCCACACAACTGTTAGTTTACTGAACATCTCTTGTGTGTTCGGCGTATTTTAGGCACTGGGGATGCAGCAATGAGCACAGCAGACCCAGTCCCTGCTGTCAAAGGGCTCGCATCTTGTGGGGAGAAGGGCAGTGATCAAATAAATGATCAAGAACATATCAGTGATTAGGGGCCCTACCTTAGGCCAGGCATCAGGGTGAAAAGAGATCTGAAAGAAGGAGGCAAGTCACCAAGGGCAAGCGTGGCATGGGAGATACCCATGCTGCACAAAAAAGCAAGTGGGTTCTTGTTCTTTTGACACTGGGGCTAAGAGCACCAACAGGCAAGATCACACAACTGACCAAGGCCAAGGTAGGCAACCAAAATCTGGCCCCATATTGAAGCCCTAAGTAGGTGTTGACCTTTCACCAGCGATGCCAAGTACTAAAACCCCAGCAGGTCTCTGCAGCATCACAAAAGCAGAGTCTACCAGACCAGAACTCCCCCTGATTCCTGAGGCAGGAAGTCTCAGGTGGTGTCTTTCTGCTCTGAGCCAGAGGAGGCTGGAGCATCCCCAGTGTTTCTCACAGAACAATGAATGTCTCAGTTGCCAAATCACACAATTTGGCTTATGGAATGTCCCCTAGCCAGTGCTGGAGGGAGGACGGCCACACAGAGAGGCAGAGGCTGATCCTTCCACTCCCACCCAGAGCCAGGCAGTGGGCAAGCGTCTGTCAGACCAGAGGTGGCAGTCACTCTGTGAGTCACCAGCTTTGGGCACAGACTGTCAGCCTTCCTAGCCTCAGTCCTCATATCTATAAAGTGGGCTTAATAAAACATCACAGAGCATTGCAAGCATTCTATCAGACAGGTCAGAGAGAGGAGGGGAAAGTACCTTTCGAAGTGATATGTGAAGGGAATTTTTCCATTTGTGACAACATGGATGGACGGATGGACCTTGAGGTCATTATGCCCAGTGAAATAAGCCAGACAGAGAAAGATCAATACCATATAATCTCAGTTATATGGAATCTTTAAAAAATAAATGAACTCATAGAAACAGAGGACACGTTGATGGTTGCCAGAGGCAGGGTGTAGGGAGTGGGTGAAATGGGTGAAGGGGGTGAAAAGGTACAAACTTCCAGTTATGAAATAAGTCAGTCCTAGGGATGCAATGTATAGATTCATGACTATAGTTAACAACACTGGATTGTGTATTTGAAAGTTGCTGAGAGTAAATCTTAAAAGTTTCATCTCTAGGGATGCCTTGGGGGTTTGGTTGGTTGAGCATCGGACTCTTTTGGCTCAGGTCATGATCTCATGGGTCTGGGACCGGGCTCTGGACTTCGCAGGGAGTCTGCTTCTCTCCCTCACCCTTTCCCTCTGCCCTTCCCCTGCTCACTCTCTTCCTAAAATAAATAAATAATAGGTACCCTAGGTGGGCAAATGACTCGTAATCTTGGCTCAGGTCATGATTTTGGGGTCATGAGATTTCCAACCCTGTGTCAGGCTCCATGCTCAGGGT